TGAATAACACGACACTTATAAAAAAATCTTACAAAAATTTATATATAAAGTGATATGTCAAAAAATGAATGGAAAAATGAAATAAAAAATTTTATTTCACTTTTCTATTATTTTTTGTCATCTCGCTTTATATGTAGATTTTTGTAGGATTTCTTTATAAGTATAATATTATTGTAATAATTTAACTGACCTTTCTTCATTAATATCTATTTAATATCAATAAGTTGCCCATATAGTTTGGAGAATGAAAAACTTTAAACTACAGTAGAACATCTCTATAGTGATACTCTATATAGGAATAACTTTTATATAGTCATAAAAAATTATGGTCCCAACTTGAGCCAGTTATAAATAAGAATAAATTTTACATTATACTAAGTTATGGTTTTTCTTGATCATGTCTTAAGGAACTTGCCTCTACATAGTAATAATTGTATGTATATTATAAAAAAAAATATGTTATGTTATATTAAATATTTAAGATGAAATAAAATATTTATCTAAAGTTGTTTGAGACGATGATTTAAGCTTTAGAATTATTACCATATCTTTTATCTTGCGGGTACGTAATAAGTCGTCAACATGGACACCTTCTTGTTGAAGCCAAAATATTTATAACTACATGTTTGGAGCTTCTTGACGCGAAACTTTAGTATTTTTGTACTATATTAATCTTCAGGATTATCTCCTTCCTTTTCTTGTCTAATTCCAGTAAGGATTTATTCTTTAGTTAAAACATACACAGCTTGTTACTCATTTAGATGATTAAATAAAATATTAATATCTATTTTATTAGTGTTGTGAAGTTGTTGAATCTGATCACTCAATTTTGTAACGATTCTTTGATATTTATTTCCATACTATCCTAATGCTACTAAAATAATGAATTGAAATCCTAATACTACTAAAACATTAATTATAAAATAAGAAATCAAAACAGTAATTCTTGTAAATAATAAATTTAGTTAGTTTCAACATTATGACTATAAGTTGCTTCTCAATAATAGCCGATCAAAGGGTGAAATTCTTCGGTATAGAATATTTTAGATACGGCAAAATGTCTATTTGAAAATACCTTTCCATAAACTAAGATACAATTTAAGAATCTAAGTTGGGCTAAATTAGTATCCAAAAGATGCTTTTTCTGATACTAATGATAATGGTCTTGGCATTTTACATTGAATCAATTTTAAATAACTTGACCTTGTTGTAATAAACTCCAAAAGTAGCTACTTATAATACTATAAAATTGCAAAGAAATCCCTCATAAAGTGGACTAGATTTTCCAATGATCTAAATCATATTCATGGGGCAGAGGCAGAGCCCACCAAATACTCTACTAAATTTGTTTTCTTGAAGAGTAATGTTACGTCAATAATCTTTTGCAAACTTCTCTTATAACTTCTATGTGGCAGTTGAATTGGCGTTGTCACGTCAAAATGATTTTGAAGAAAACGACCGTTCTTTATGAAAGAATGATTATTTTTTATGAAGGAATTGTTATTCCTCACAAAAGAAATGACCGTTCCTTATAAAGGAACAATCAAAGGAATGACTTTACCTTGAGAAACAACCAAAGAAATGGTTGTTTCTTAACAATCGTTCCTTCTAAAGGAACGACCGTTTGTTTCTAGTAATGTCTTTTGGTGCCTTAAGTGTAGTGGGACTAGGAGCTGACGTGATACGGTGATAGTGCCAATCTGCTATCATGTTAGGGATGTAAGAAAATGCTATGAGATTGGGATATAAATGTAACATTTTTCTTTATTGAATATGACATTCCCTCTTTCTCTTCCACATTATAAATTTGTTTAAAGGGCCACAATAAAGTATTGGGCCGATACCGGCCCAATATGGTCACTAAATGTGGCTCATAGATATTGGGCTTAAAATCCAGTTTTTTTGGGTTTGTTTTGTTCTTTTTAATTTCAAAGAAAAATACAAAATGATATTTCGTAATCATGTCCTTCAAATTGTCGACATGTCTCTATCAACAATTGAAAGCAAATCTTAACAAATATCAAACACTTCAATAATGTCGGCTAATGTTAACAGAGGGACCATTATGTGAGAAGAAAAAAGCAGAAACAATTACGCTTAAATTTTATTTTATTTAATTAAAAAAGAAAAATAGAAGAATAAGACCACACTTATAAGTATTTTAGTCATGTATGTCCAGTAATATAGCTAATTGATTTATTAATTACGTATTAGCATAACAAAGGGAAAATTGCATGTATTATTACATTAAATATATTATTACAATAAATTTGAAATTAATAAATACTAATAAAAATTATAAAAAAATGACTCCATTAACTAGCACGTTTTATAATATTTAGAGCATCTCCAAATGACTCTTTATATAAAGACTCTATTCATAGATACAAGAGTCCAACAAGCTTTTTATCTTTAAAATATAAATTATAGGGTGAGTTTGACTCTCCACATTTAGAGAGTCAAATTTCATTATCTATTCTAATTTTAATTAATAAACTACAAGTTCCTATATATTTTATTTATTAATTTTATCTTTTATTAAGTCATTTTCTTAAAAATAAAGAACATCTTTATTAAATTCAAAGAGTCTATTGGATTTGAATAAAAATTATATCCTTTATATTTAAAAATTAATGAAAATATTTTTTATTTATATTAAATTCAAAAAATCTATTAAATTTGAATAAAAAATATATTTTTTATATTTAAAAATTAATAAAAATATTTTTTATTTATATAAAAAATACTATTTAAAATATAGAGTATTATTAGAGATTCTTTTGCACGTAAAGTCAAGGGTCAACCAACGCGGCCGTTTGGAAATCTGTACAGATTTTAAATAGCTTTCGTTATGACAATTGACGCATGACAACTTAATAGTCTTTTTATATCATATGATTTTGATTAAATAAATGAAGAGGGGTCAGGTCAATTAGATCATATGTTAAAAATCAAATCAACATGTTTGACAGGCCCCTACAACATGTGTCTAACCAATCATAATTCCTTGTGCATGTGGCACATATCATTACAGCTATGATCTTAAATCAACGTAATTCAATAATTATAATAATATGACACTGTTAGATGATGGTATTGGTAGCGAAGCAAAAGATTTGTGTTGGGTCATAATTTATATTAATTATTAGCATAAATCAGAATTGACATTTAAATTGTAATTGCTTAAAAGATTAGGCAAGCAATCGTTTGCTTTTATGTCTTAACTCGCTTAGATTTGATTGGTTCAAAACTTTAATTAGAAGAAATATTTCTTTCCAATATTCGTATTATATAGTACTCCTCTAATAGGATGTTAAGATTCCTAAAAAGTCCATTTAGGAGTTTCATGTTAGCAATTATGAGAGTAAATCACTAAAACAGTTTTAAACATAAATCATCGTAGCGGTTTTGAGAGGTCTTTAGTCAGAGTTTTTAAAACACTTAACTTGTGATTGGGAGTTCATTTTTCAACGGTTTTGACAGTTTTTTAAAATGATAAATTTATATATATGCCCATAAAAATACGTTAACTACAACCAGTATTTGAGAGTTTTGTTTTTTCAATTATAAGGTAAAAGTTCTTCATTTGTTTTCTATTTTGTTAGTATTTTATAACTTCAAATGTGATAAAGTCTCCTTATCCCTTCTTCGTTATTTACAGTATCCGGAATGATTGAAAAAATGTAACTCCACTTCTTCAAGAAACTATATAGAAATATGATTTTAATAATTTTTTTTATGACTGCTTAAAATGATTTTATATTTAATATGGTTAAAGACGTACATAATATAGTTAAATTCTTTTTTGAATATAATTGGAATAGTTTTGTAGTGGATACGGTATTTGTGAAATAAAAATTTTAAAACGAATCAAAATACTCTGAATTGAAATATTTTATAAACTCCTAAAAAATATACTATACTAATTCAGAGGGATTTTAAACTAGTTAAAATTAGTACATAAAATTTCTAACAAATAATAATTTTGAAACAATTCAAGACCAACCTAACTAAAAACCTTCCAAAACTAGCAAACAAAAAACTTCCAGCAGATCCTAAAAAATCTTTTTATCAAATTAAAAGATTCGTAATATTATTTGCTTTCGGAATTCGGACACGACTAAAAAATATCTACTTTCTCGCGGCGGCCTGGCTGTTCAATATCTCGTGATTTGATGTATAGAGGTAAGCATGAGAAGGAATATAAATTTAAGGTGAAAAAGTTAAAATATCACAATCCCCAAGCGAGAAAGAAAACAAAAAGGGTATTTTGGTGATTCGTGTAAAAAATGTGGAGTGTCGAGCGATACGAGGGATAAGCACATGCCTCTGCTTACCGTGCTGCAATTATAGCCTCTCTGTTTTTGTGCTCTTCCCACTACGTGTCATTCTTTTTCTTTATTATTTATGTAAATTAGTTTTTTATTTTTATTTAGTATTTAAATACAAATGCTTTTCATAAATGGTTTATTATTTTTAAATGTAAAAATTAAAATGCTTTTTTAATGGGTTATTAAGTTTAATAAAGTTGAAATTATATTTGCAAAATCGTATAAATCTAACGTCAACACAAACTCATTTCTAACATAAAATGGTTATTAACATATTATTAACCATAAAACTGAAAACCATAAAATAAATTCAATAAATATAACAATAATTTAACCGTAGTAATAATAATAATAATAATAAAATGGTTATCATGCACCTAGACACAATTTATTTAACTATGCATTGAATATATATACTGTATTTATAAGATTAAAATATGATTTATATTGTAAATTAAAGAAGAAAAAAGGGAAAAAAACAAAAGTGAAAAAGAAGAAGAAGAAGACGCCACACCAATCAATGTCTTGTTGGGTTGGAGCAAAGAGTGTGTACCGTAGACGCAGAGGCTGAGTGCCCATAAATAAACACCTGAATCTTGTAGAGTAGCTTTGCGAATTGAATTTCTATATACTTTCCGAATATCCTTTGTCTCTCTTTCTTCCTCTTTTCTCTTTCTCTTCTTCATAGGATAAGGAAGGAGAAGAAGGGAAGAGAAATAGGGAAAAACCATAACAAATATCAGCTATTAGAATAAGGGAAGTGACCCACAAGGAAAGTATAAGGAGAGGATAAAAAATCAAGCTCTTTTTAGGTTGCTTTCCTTTTTTTTTTTTTTTCTTTTTTTCTTTTACATTACATATATATTGTGAAAACAAGGTTAAGGGAAGAAAGAAGAGAGAAGAGATGGGGAAGATTGAAGAGAGTAATGGGGATGTGAAATCGATTAACAAGTTTCCTTTAAGCATTTGGGACGTGGCGTTGGCTTCAATGGTAGTGATGGGTTTCGTGGTGGGGCTGTTGCTGGTTTATCTGACTATGCCCGCATCTGATTACAGCTTCCTCAAGCTCCCTAGAAGCCTTGAGGACCTTCAAATCCTCAGGTATCGTATATCTTTTCTGGGTTTTAATTGAGGGTCTGGTCTGCTTGTTTCTGACAATTAAAAGGTGAATTTTTTGATGGTAAAGTTTTGTTTTTTGTTGGGTTTTTCTAAGGGAAATGTAATTTTTTTTGGGAATAAGTTTCATTTTAGGCAAATGGGTGTTTGGGTATTTTGTTTTGTGTGCGATTGTTTATCCATTGTTCAGTAGATTCTCTTTTGGGGTGTAAAACAAAAGCAGAGTTGTGTTTGATTTGGCTATTGTATTTTTCCGACAAAAGGGTTAATTTCAGGTGTTAATTAAAAGAAATTGCCTTTGTAGATCTATCATTTTTGAAAGCGGATGAAGCTTTTAATTGTAGAGTTAGGATTACTGGTTCAGGAAATTGTTGTATTTGAAGTAAATAATTTAATGAACATGGTTTTCCATATTGATCTGTGCTAGGAAATAAGGATCTTATTGTTTTAGAATGATTTCCCGCTTGCATGTTGTTCTTAGAAAGAATTTAGTGATAGACTTACCGGAAATCGTTAAATGCCTTTGTTGGAAACCAATCTGGAGGGGTGGAGAAAACTAATTACAGATGCTTTGCTAAGGGAAATTAAGTTTTGTTCAGGTATTCCAAAGCTCGTTTTCTTCTTGTGAAGTTAACTAAGGGAGACCTGAAAATGGTCCAAGAATTACCAGGAGAGAACTAGTGGGATAAAAAACTAACAGGCATTGGGCCGATTGAAGAATGCTGATGATTTTTGCTATTTCTTTGGAAGTGTGATTAGTGACTGTGGAAATTTGACTGAGTTTAATTGGACATTATATTATTTTTATGTACCATTTAACGGGAGTGGCAGAGGTGCTGATCTAACAGAAACTGGCTTTTTTGAATTGTTGGGCTTCAAAATCCTTATTATTCTCAGAAGTCTTATTGTCAGCTGATACACCTAGTGTATTTTGGAATTTGCATATGCAGCTTCTCATTCATTTTTTAATCGTACTGGAGAGAGGGGAACTATTGTAGATACTCTGCTAGTTTTGCTGGTAAAGCTTCTTCTAGTCATACAAGGAGTCTTCATTCTAGCCTGTTTAACACTGGGTTGGGGAGTGTTTGGTTGAGGCTAAATTTCTTTTTATCTGTGCAAAAAGTATTGTTGTTTCCTTTTGGTCTTGGTTTTGGAATGAACAGTATGGCTAATTTCCTTTCAACCTGGTGTTCTTTGCTGTGTTTTACATTGTAATAGTTTTTGTTTCCGATTATATGATGTACTTATTTCCTGCTATATACTGACCGTATTTCGTGTGATTGTTTATTTTGCAGAGATCACCTTGAGAACTACACAAGTGACTATACTGTACAGGTCCTGGTGGGCTACTGTGTGGTCTACATTTTCATGCAAACTTTCATGATTCCGGGGACTGTTTTTATGTCACTGCTCGCTGGATCCCTTTTTGGTGTCATCAAGGGTGTAGCTCTGGTTGTGTTCACTGCTACTGCCGGTGCTTCTTCTTGCTATTTCTTGTCAAAATTGATTGGGCGACCTCTTGTCTTTACATTATGGCCTGACAAGCTGGTTTTCTTCCAAGATCAGGTGAATCTCTACTCAAAGTGGGCTTTGTTTATATCAACCTAAAAGGTGGAATAAATTTTTTTGTTTTTACTTCAGGTAGCTAGAAGAAGAGAGAGTTTGTTGAACTACATGCTTTTCCTGAGACTGACCCCAACTTTGCCTAACACATTTATTAATGTTGCTTCGCCAATAGTTGATGTGCCATATCATATATTTTTCCTGGCTACTGTTATTGGACTCATTCCCGCTGCTTATGTAACTGTCAAGGTACGTGAGTCAGGAAGTTATTGATTAATAGCTCTGAAGTCTGAACTTACGTGTTATCTATTGAGTAACTTGCAAAAGCTTTCTGGTCTCTAAACCTAACTATCCAAATTTGACTGTTATAATTGTTATATTGAACATAGGTGAGGAACATATTATTACTTTATATAGAGAGAGACAAGACATTGTTATTAGAAAGTTGTCATAACATTCGCATGTCAAAGAACTTGCATAAAGTGGGAGAAGTAAGACTGTCTTGGATCCTCTTGAAGAGTGATTTCTTGCGAAGAAATTTGTTGTTTTTCATCTAAATCGTGTAGGAAGTTTATTCTCGTGGAGAGAAAGTAGATTGGAAAACTGAGAATTAATTTGGTAATTGTTTCTTTTTCTTTCTCTCTTTTTGATATTCATGGATGTCAAAAGGTTTTTTGATCTGCCTTGTTTGGGTTGCTCTACAAATGTGCTCAATATATCAGAATTGTGATCCACTGTATGATATGTTGGGATACTGGGGGAAGGTTAGCATGAAGCTACCTAAAATTTTTTTACATATTTTTGAATTATATTAAGACTTTTATCACTTGTGACTGAGTCACCTGGTTTTGCGGTACAGGCTGGAATTGCTCTTGGAGAGTTGCAGTCTCTGGGGGATCTTTATGATTTCAAATCCATGGCAACGCTTTTCTTTATCGGCGTTGTCTCCATTACCCCAACACTAGTAAGCAAGAGCAAATCATAGTATTCTGCTAGCTGGGCATGCTTGGTGTACATGGATGGGCCTTTCTCTCCACAGCAAATTGTGTTTCACTTTGTTTCTGTACAGATTTAGCTTCAAATAAATCAAGTTGCAGCCGCCGTCTTCCGCTTGTAGAATTCATCGCTAATGCTGCAGACACTGAAGATGATGACCTGGAGAAGGTGTATTAGGCCTTACATGAAATCTATGCGACGATTAGTATTTGCTCTTGTTAGTGTTGTTTGGTTAAGGCGAGTAAAGGGTGTAGGAGGGAGGTTTGAGTACTTGTATAATTTCAGTTGAAATGGTTGGAAACAGGCTTCAACCTCTAAGCAGTTGTATATCAGTGGTACAAAATTTATTTTAGAAGACATTATCTGTTACAGTGTTGTGTTTTCTGCACTTGGCTATGGTTTTAACTTCAAATTAGAAGCCATGGTGAAAACATATTCTTCTGACAGAAGAGCTGAGTCAGAGTTAATTGGCTTGATTGATTGGTGGGTAGAACAGTTAAGACTAAACAAATTAATCTCCAATTAACAAAAAATCAGCCTTATTGAACACACTGTTAACAGTCAATTTTTATATTAGTCTAGTCAATTGTGGTGGGATATCCGCGGCTACTTTAAAATTGGGGAATACCATTGACTCCACTATGAAAAAGATATGAAAAAGAGATGTTGCCAAAAGTAATGTATTGCTTTCCTTCCATTTTGAATGTTCCTGGAAGTTCTCACATATAAATGATGTTTGGAATCTACGTGTAGACTTCGGTGACCAAGACTTACAGCTACCAGCCCTCACTGCTGTACATATCATCTGTTGTTTTCTTCTGTTTCCTGTAAAGAGAACTCTTAAAATTCAGCCATTACATGAGCCCTGGCCTGTTTCTTGCTTCTTGCATTTTGCATAACATTAAGCATATTTAATCAACTTTCTTTTATTAAGTTAAATGGATTCTCATTTCATTCTGTCAATGAAATTATGTTCTTAAACATATGCAATTTTAGGGAAACGGCATGCATAAAGCATATTAATCAGTTTTGGGGGTGCAGCTCTATTTGAATTAATAATTATGGAGTTTACAACCAACAAAGTGACTTCAAAGGAATAAAAGATAAAAGATTTTCCATTTTCTTTTGTAATAATTAATTCACAAAATTAACAGCTGAGAAGATGAAAGATTTGTCAAATTAAAATTAATAGAACAATAAAAAATAAAAAAAATCTGATATGAACATTAGAAATGGGAATAAAACAATAAGCAAAAAATTTTATGATAATAAAATTTTCTAAAAAAAATAGTTGGATTGTGAAATTTACTTTGGATAAATTACAGTGAAATAATTCAATTTTTATAAAAGTTTAATCAAGAGCAGACCTTTGCCCACTTTTAGGCTGGAGAATCTTAGTTGTAATCGCTTTGATTCAGAATCTAAAACGATACGTTACTAAAGGTTGTCGAAAAAATTTGTGTTGATTTAAAGTTGGGGGTCAATGTATTTTTATACTGCTTTCATTTCTCTTTCTATTCATAATCACCTTTGTTAAGACTATTCCCGAGACTATATATATATAAATTAAGAGTTAACGCACTTTTTCTCACCCAAATAATGGTTTAATGACACTCTCTTATACACGGACTTCTAAAACATCATTTTATAATATAAATTTATATTTCGACAACAGATAAAGAGAAAACTTGGTCCAGGATGTTGGGGCTTTTGAAGAGGAGAGATCGATGAGTCTTTTGGTGGTAGAAGGTTGAATTTTGATGGTTGTGATTGATTGAAATTTGACTTGGGAGGGACAGTTGGACAAATCCTAATTGCTCGATTGTCTGCGATTGGCGAGGTCAATGAGAGTAGGGTTTAGAGGTTTTGATGAGTAATGATCAGGGAAGAATGGTGGTGATGCGAGGTCACAACGATGCTGAAATCGAAAATAAAATATAAATTTGGATAGTAAAATGATATTTTAAAAGTTTGTGGTGAGAAAGTATAATTAACCCATTATTTGGGTGAAATTTTTTCTTTTTTTTGGTTGTGATTGTGGATATCTGAGCCAGCTTGCGTGCGTTTCAACTAATTACTTAAGACCCTAAAATAAATGACTAGATAAAACTTTTTAATGATCATCCCTATTAACATCCGAAAGAATTCAAACTCAAAAACTCGTATTAACCCTCTTTGCTTTTTTACCATCCCATCACGTAGTGATGGTTGGTGGGGAAAAGTTAAGTCTAAAAATTGGTTGCTTAGTAGTTTGGTCTTGCCAACTTTTCCTTCTCCACTCATTGCTTCCAGAGTTAGGCATTGCTTTCCGTCTATTTTGATTGTTCTTGGACATTGTGATTCATCTTATCAAATTAATTGCTTTTATATGATGTTTGGAACCTACTGGCAGGCTTGTTGACCAAGACTTACAACTAGCCGTGCTCACTGCTCTACAAGACCAAGACTTACAACTAGCCGTGCCGTGCTCACTGCTTACAACTAGCCGTGCTCACTGCTCTACATGACCAAGAGTTTCAACTAGCCGTGCTCACTGCTCTACAAGACCAAGACTTGATGGACTAAATTTTTGAATATATAAACATAGACTTATGGACAAAGATATCATCTCTAGTTTTCATTTCTCTCAACAGTCATATGCATCTTTCATTTTCTTCGGTTTTCTGTAAAGAGAAAAGGATGTGGGGGTTATTATGGCACTGTCTAATTCCCTGCCTCGTCTTATTGTTCTTACATTTTCAAGCTATCAACTCTTTTACTCCATCGGCAAAACGTTGCCCTCCTAAAGAAAGCTCCGCGTTACTCCATTTCAAGAACTCAATTTCAGTTGATAGCTCTGCTTCTAGTTATTGTGGAGGAAATCCCTCTTCTAATTCTTATCCTAGGATAGAATCCTGGAATAAGAGCAATGATTGCTGCTCATGGGATGAAATCACTTGTGATAGGTTCACAGGTCATGTGATTGGCCTTAATCTTAGCTCTAGTTGGCTTGTTGGTTCTATTCACTCTAATAGCAGTCTCTTCTTGCTTCACCATCTCAAAAGCTTAATTTAGCTTGTAATGATATCAGTGGGTCCAAAATCTCTTCCAATTTTGGTGAGTTCACGAAATTGACACATCTCAATCTTTCTTCATCCCATTTCTATGGCCTAGTTCCCACTCAAATCTTTCACCCGTCTAAACTGACTTCACTTGATCTGTCTTATAATTATGAATTTGGAGAACTAAAATTGAGCCAACATGGATTTCGTAAGCTGTTGCAAAACCTAACAGAATTAAGATATCTTCATCTGAATGATGTGAATATGTCTTTAGTTAAAGCTAATTCTTTGGCAAACCTATCTTCTTCATTGATATCACTCAGGCTTGATGATTGTTCGCTACAGGGCGAGTTCCCAAATGATATTTTCCACCTTCCTTTCCTCCAGGAGCTACGTTTATCAGGAAATGAGGATCTCTTTGGTCGTTTACCAAAATCAAACTGGAGTAGTCCCCTCAAGTTTTTGGATCTCTCTTTAACACATTTTTCAGGAATATTGTACGACACAATTGGTAATCTAATATACTTGAATGAACTAGATCTTTCTCGCTGCCAGTTCATAGGATCACTTCCAACATCACTTTGGAACCTTACGGGAATCACTTTTTTGAATTTGGGTTCCAATAATTTTTCTGGTCAAGTCTCAGGATTGTTATCAAACCTTGGCCAACTAAATCATTTAGATCTTTCTATGAACAGGTTTTCAGGCGAGTTTCCGGATGTTTTTGGTAACCTCAGCAAGTTAGTTGTTGGACATGCTCTTGCAAATAATTTCACTGGTTATTTGCCTCCATCAGCATTCAGTCACATTCAACTTTCAGATTTGGATTTATCTGAAAATCAATTCGAGGGCCACATTCCACAGGTCAGGCATCTTTTAGATTTAACCGACAAAATATCATCTTTGGGTCGCTTAAATCTCAGCAACAACAAACTCTCAGGTCCAGTTTCAAATTCCATCTTTGAACATGTAAACCTTACTGATCTCAACCTTTCATCAAATAAATTGAGTGGCATTGTGAAGTTAGAGAAGTTTTCAAAGTTCAAAAATCTCATTTATGCAGACCTTTCGTATAATGACCTTTTGTCATTAAAAAGTGATATGGTTGACTTTATCTTACCCAAGCTCGTGTATTTTGGCTTTTCTTCTTGCAACCTAACTGAATTCCCTATTTTCTTGAGAAACATGAAAAGTTTGTTAAATTTAGACCTTTCAAATAACAGTATTGTTGGTCAAGTTTCCGTACAGGAGCATATAGATTGCAAAAACTTGTTATATCTTGAGCTCTCTAGCAATTTTCTAACAAGTGTTGAGCATATTTCATTGATGACAAACCTGCAGTTTCTGAACCTTCAATCCAACTTGCTCAAAGGATCACTTATGATTCTACCACCCTATATGGGGTACTTTTCAGTTTAAAGCAACAAATTGACCGGACGAATCCCTGAATCCTTTTGCAATTTGAGCTTTATTCAACATCTTGACTTGTCTAATAACAGCTTCACTGGAACAATTCCGCAATGTCTAGAAAACTATGATATGCTCGAGTTCTTGGACCTGCGAACAAATAACTTCCATGGTCACATCCCTTCATTCCTAGATGTTCCTATTGAATATCTTAATCTTAATGGCAATCGATTGAATGGATCGTTACCAACCTCTTTGGTTAATTGTAATGAGTTGGAAGTTTTAGATGTTGGGACTAACATGATTAATGATACATTTCCTCATTGGTTAGGAAGTCTTCCAAAATTGCAAGTTGTTGTCCTAAAAAGTAATAAATTTCATGGTCCTATTGAATATTCAACAAGAAGATTTCCCTTCACTAAGTTACAAATACTTGATCTCTCTCACAATCAATTTACTGGTCTTTTGCCGATAAGGTATTTTGAAAAATCTGAAGCTATGATGCGTGGAGATAAAGGTAGTCCTGAAGTTGAATATTTAAGAGGATATCCCATGGAATATTTGGGGAAAACAACTTCTGAGTATTATTCAATTGTTTTGGTGGTTAAAGGAGTTACTACGGAAATTGAGAGAATTCTATCCATTTTAGCAGCCATGGATTTGTTAAACAACCAATTCCGAGGATCGATTCCAGAAATAGTTGGAAAGTTCAACTCAGTTGAACTTCTTAACTTTTCTAACAACAACCTTATTGGTCATATTCCATCATCATTGGGAAATTTGACAAAACTTGAATCATTGGATCTGTCTTCAAATAGGCTTGTTGGAGAGATTCCCAAACAGTTGGCAAGTTTGACATCTCTTGCAGTGTTAAATCTTTCATACAATCTTCTTGCGGGACCTATACCTAAAGGATCTCAGTTTAACACATTTTCAAATGATTCATACATTGGAAACTTGGGATTGTGTGGATTTCCAATGTCAAAAGAATGTAGCAGTGATAAGCCAACTAAACCGCCATCAACAATATTTCCTGAAGATGACAATGATCCAGGTTGGTTTGATTGGAAAATTGCTATGATGGGTTATGGAAGTGGGTTGGTGATTGGTTTGTCTATGGGATATATTGTATTCACAACGAGGAAACCAGAATGGCTTATAAGGATGGTGGAAAGAGATGGACCAACCAATGTGAGAAGCTTGAACAGAAGACGCCAAGGAAGAAGAAGTCCATATGTGCAAGACGCCAAGAAGTGTTTGCACCTCATTACAAGGTAACTTGTTATATTCAAATATTAACTAACAAATTAAACAATCTAAATGGTTTTCTTAATATCATGCTGAAAAATATCAATTTGAGTTCTCTATAATTTCTTCAGTCTATTATTTACTCATAGATCTAAAACCTTAAGAACAACTGTTACTCTGATCAAAGAAAATAGACTAACTCTGATCAACCTAGCTAAATGTAAAACCCTAAGAATTTTAGTTGACTTTTTTCTGGGCATCTTGGGATCACCATTAGCTTTGTTGATCGTTCATAAGGATATATTTCTCATGTTTATAAAGTACTTTTAGTTATTTTAGAAATTTAGATGCGCCGATTAAGGTATTTAAATTTTAACCACAAGTATTAAATTTTTTTTTTTTTTTTTTCTGAAATTATTATCATTTTATTTTTTCAGACTTGAAGAGTTGATAACACATGGAATTGAAGTCTTTCGTGGGAGAGTGCAAGAAAAGTTAATCTACAAGTCTTTTGCATAAATAGGGAATCTTTATATTATCATCTTTATTAAGTTTGTGTGTTAGAACAGCAAGCAATTATATATGTTTGAATATTCTATTTTTCATGTCCTTAAAACTAAGAATTACAGATTTTCTTGAAAAAAAATTATTGTCCTCAGAGAGTAACAGAGCAGTAGTACACTTCACCAAAACAATGTAAGCTAGAAGTAGTTGTCTTGACACCAAGGAATTAGATGATGATATAAATGAAAAGACGAACATAATTGTCATTACACTTGCATACGATTGATAAATATCTATGATACAAATAATTGGGTACTGTTGGTTTTTAGAGCTGGAGTATACTAAGAAAAGAGGACCAAAAACTGACGTGAGAGAGAGTTGTAGAGAGAGAAAATCTGAACTGAAATTTTCTCTATTTTACATTCAAAAAACAGGGGTAGATTTATACAAAGCACACGCCACTGTTCCACCTAAAGCTGCAAATTTAAAATTTAAACTAAACACACCAACTAATGCACGTACAGACATATCAAAATACATCATTTTATCAACCTAATTCACCTAAACACATCACTGAAATATTTCTTAAACAGTGACCAAAAACAACTTCTTTATGTACAGTAGCATTTCAAACCGTGGCGCCAAAATCTTGCAACTCCCACCGTGTGTTTGACTTCATCATTTCCAGCATGGTATCACCATTCAACAGGTACATTATAAAATCCTCAGCATAGAGCTAATGCCTGTATCTTACTCATGTCCACTTTAACATCTTTCATCTGCCCCTACCCTAACTAAATCTCTTGGCTTTCTTCTTCCTCTGAGAACCGTCTGGAGTCTGGCTGTCCAGCTTGCGCTTTGTCCCTACTTGTTTCAGAGCAACACCATCCTTTGAAGCATTTGCCCTTGCCTTCCTCAGAGCAACCGCCGGTCTTTTCTCCTGATGTATTTTTGCCTTCTCTCCTTTCTGAACTTCTGTTTTCATCATGACCCGATCCACTGCTCCCTAAATGGACTTTCTTTTGTGTACCAGGTTTGCTAGCAGGCAAACCCTCGTATGACAAAGTAGGCTTTGAATTCGATTGATCCGCACTGCCTGGAATCCTTGAATCCACTGCAAATTTCTTTGAAGTGGGATTAACTGCAGATGCTACATTCATTCTCTTAGATGGGGTGGAATTCCGCCCAGCATGAGAAAGCCTCAGTTCCCTATCTCGAAGCTTTAAGTTACGCTTCTTAACAACCAATTTTGCAGCTTCCTGCAAATTAAAACTACAACTTAGTAAATTGTAAAACCATCATATAGATAGTTTAATGATAGATATACATCTTTTACATGATGGCAAAAGAACTGCTAGAGGTTATGATAATACAAAACATCGGTACAAAAAGTTCTACTAGTGTAATGTAACATTATTGACCCCGATTCTGCCCTTAAATTGGTCAAATTAATTTTCACCAACTTGCCGCCCAATCTTCAAGTAAAAGATAATAGAATAGAGCCCTTAAGACAAATCTGTTTGCCAATGTAATTAAACACAATTACAGTACATGAATTAAGTTAGACTGCCACGGTTGTTCAAAAAGAAAATGTTTGCTCCAAATTTCATCTCCTAATGCCAAGGTTTGCTCTTGCTGAGTCCGATATATGTTCTCCCCAAAATTTCCCTAAGCTAAGAATTCAATGCATCCCAGATTATCTTCGGCCAGAGCACTTTTCATATTACAGATTCATGCTTCAAGGATTTGCGCAAATATGTGAAAAATCACAGGCCCCAAATTCTGAAAACAACAGAAATAGTTCCGATGCCTAGGATAAACAAGAATAATTATACAAAAGAAGTATCCATTACTGACACGACCCTCCTCAATTCTCACAGTATGGTAAAACAACGTCAGAATGTTGGGCACGGCATACCAATTATACATTTTGTGTAACTATAAAATAATACAAATGTGGACAAAGCACATCTATGAGAAAGCATTGCTAAAAAGCATCACAATCTCTATGGGTACTGTAAAAGATAACAAACTGAACATAAAATAAGAAAAAGAAATAGAGAGACTTAAATATCAAAATCTTGAGTTAAAAAAATAAATAAATAATAATGCAGTTGGACAGAAGTAAAATTTCGAAGTAAATTAATTGATAACTGGGGAGTAAAAAGTAAAAAACAACGTCATCATACCCTTGTTTTAAATAAGACATAAGCAATGCCCTTTCCCACTCTCATATGAGGATGTCTAATTACCCGAACAGCTTCAACACTGGATCCCCTCTGTGAGTTGAAATTTAATTGATGCATAAGCACGGATCAAGCAGGAAAATTGGATGAGCATCTACATGAATACCATTACAAATTAAATTCATTTTAACATAAAAATTTTGATTATGAATAAGTAATTGCCGGCTTCCAACAAATCAAGACACATATACTACGATAAAAATTTTGGATGCAGCTATGCACGCAAGGCCAATATGCTGCTTTCCATGATTTAGAAAATTGTGGATATACTGCCTGCAGGCAACCATTTGCACCAATTTTGGACCTCTTCCTTATTAAATAGAGTGATTTATTACTAACTGCTGCATGCTTTCGTCACCAGTTGACTGCCATCCTTACCATAAATACTGTTTAGTATCAAGTTCAGTGCCATAGATTTGCATTCATTAAGAAGAAGAAAGAAAGGAAGAGCCAAACTAGGATTCCCTAATTAAGGTGAGTTCTTTCATCTCTTATTCTTATCATGAGTAGTGTTGAGTCGATATTCTGCTTAATTTTTTCCCTTTTGTTTAAAAATTAGGTAGAGATTATGGAAGAGATTCAGCAGAAAGAAGAAATTAAACAAATTGTTCTTGAAGAGCAAAACGAAAACCCCACCAACAAGCAGTAGGAGGTAGCTGAAAAGGAAGAGCTTGATCATCTGAAAGTCGATGAAGATGAGAAAATTGTTCCTGTACTTAACAATAATGCGGCACAGCAAGCTGCTGGAAGAGTTGAAGGAAACCAAAAGGACTGAGCAAGGAAATTGAATCAAGGTTCAAAATTATCGAATCTCAAGTCAAAGGCTACAGTGCCTCAGCCATTTGCTTTGGCAACTGAGAAAAGAATACTGTATAGAGAAAGACTAGCTTCAGTGGATTTTTCTTCATTGACTGAAACAAAATTAATGCCTAAAGAAAGACGAGGCTCAGTGGACTCCAAGGATTTGCAACGTCCTAAACTTACCAAATCTGTTAGTTTAAGCTACAAGTCAGTTCTCTATATTCATGCTTTCTGTTATATTATATTTTATTTCACAGGATTTAATGAGTAGATTTAAAAGATTTTTACATCTGCAGGACTCAATTCTTGTCAGGTCCTGGATTTGGAGAAACCTCAAAGGCAAAACATGCAAATTCTACCAATATTGCTGCTAAAACAAATTCCAAGATATGAAGGTGTACACAATATTTTGGAAAATATAATACAAATAATTTATCCGCTCATATGCACTCTTTCTCTATATATCTCTTCAATCTTTTTATAGTTTGTCAGGTGCACATAACAAATTATAACAGATTATTATTCCTCCGGTTATCAAAGTTAGTACCATTAATTAATATTACAATATTTGATATTTTTCATAAACGTATCCAGTATGATTAGAAAGCTGCAACCAATGGCGCTGACATTTGAGCTTTGTTATTGATTCCTTCCTCCTCTTCGTCGTCCTCCTCCTCTGATTCCCACATAAATCGTGCATACGATGCCAACACCGTCCTGCACATTCATTACATTATTACATACTTTTACTTAATTAATCACACAAAATTAACAGAAAATTTATATACAGGGAGAGAACTTTCCGTAGTTTCGAAGAATCAGAGAATCCGTATGGTTTGACTTCACTAACTCCCGGTAATGATCGCCCATTTTTCTCTTATCACCGCCGTTTTTACCGCCACTGTTTGGCCAGTTTCCAGAGTAATCTACACGATCATTTCCAACTCCGTTAACATCCTCCTCCGGAATTCTCGACGATGCGAACCAAGTTCCGCCTCCGCTCATCTTCGTGTAAACGTCCGAGCTGGCGACGTCGGTTTGCGCCAGAGCTCGTCGGATTCTGCTGATTCTCTTGTTATTCATCTCCAAATTCAGGGAAACTCGAGGAGAACTCACCGTATGCCTTTCACCGGAGAAACCTCCGGAGCTAGAGTCTTGACGTGAAATAGAGACTTTGAGTGAACTTAGTGAACTGGAGGTTGGACCGGCACCGATGTGGTTCTGAGCAGTACAGCTTTCATCGCTGATTTAACTTTTGGTTTGAACACTGACAGTGGATTGAAAGCTTTCATTGATTTTCTTTTGTAGTACAGCTCCCTTCCTTGGTGTTTTAGTCTAACCAAACAAGCAACAAAAGCACATCCTTAGCCAAAACAATGAAAACACAAAGCACAAAGCATTCTAAATCTTCCATCACAAAACCAGAACGACTTGAATTATACCACATTACACTCACATCTAAGATTGCCACAGAGCGAATCCTTATCGACCCAACTTCCCCAAATTTACTAAACTCCTGCAAAAGCATTTTCTTCTTGACCTTCAAAGGCAAATTCCCAACAAAAACAGTCCTCAAGAGCTTATTCTCATCATCGAAACCTTCGTCTTTCGAAGTCGCCAACATATCCTCCGTCTCATTCTCTGCTTTCTTTCTCTTCTCTCCCACCACCACCTTCTCTACTTCTTCTTCAGTTTTCGCTCCGTACTTTTTCTCCTCGTATTCTCTCTCCACCTCATCCCTCTTCCTCTTCTTCCTCTTCCTCTTTTCACTCCCTTCGCCTTTCAATTCTTGCTCGTTCAAATTAGGTTTTTGGGAGGTCTGAGTGGCTTCTTCAACACGCAAATCAAGATTAGGTTATTCCTCCGTTACCTTCTTAGCTTTCTTCAGCTCAGCAATGTTAGAATCCGAAGAGTCGGAGTTCTTAGGATTTACGGCGGGCTCAGACCCTGATTGCGAATCAAGATTAGGTTTTTTCTTTTGAATGGATTATTGTCGGAGAAGATGGAAGAAACGGCGGAGTTTTCGTCAGTAACGCCGCCGAATAGGTTTGTGATGATTTTTGCTATTTCTTTGGAAATTTGATTATTGACCGTGGAGATCTGACTGAGTTTAATTGGACGTTATATTATTTTTATGTACCATTTAACGGCAGTGGCAGAGGTTCTGATCTAACAGAAACTTGCTTTTATGAATTTTGTGTTTCAAAATCCTTATTATTCTCAGAAGTCTTATTGTTAGATGATACACCTAGTGTATTTTGGAATTTGCATATGCAGCTTTTCATTCATTTTTTAATGGATACTGGAGAGAGGGGATTGTTTATTGTTGGTTTTGCTGGAGAGTGATGAGGAGAATGACATTAAGCAAAAGAGAGAGAGAGAGATGGCTGCATGAGAAATGCTCTGCTTTGCATTCAAAATACAGGGGTAATTTATACACAAACCAATCACTGTTTCACCTAATGCAGTAGATATTTTTTCAAATTTGAATTTAAACTGAATACATTCAACTAATACAAGTTCATGCCAGTCTAATACAATACTTAAACACTGCATATTTCAACTAAACCTATCACAAATTACATCACAAAATCCATCAACACAGCGGCTCTAACTACTGCAATCAGAACAGCAACTTTGAACTCTTGCCGCCAAAAAGACATTCAGAAATATTGACTGAATTTTCTGCATGTCCAGCAAAATATCACCTGCTTCAATATTTATTTTGCAGAGATCACCTTGAGAACTGCACAAGTGACTATACTGTACACCTCCTGGTGGGATACTGTGTGGTCTACATTTTCATGCAAACTTTCATGATTCCGGGGACTGTTTTTATGTCACTGCTAGCTGGATCCCTTTTTGGTGTCATCAAGGGTGTAGCTCTGGTTGTGTTCACTGCCACTGCCGGTGCTTCTTCCTTCTATTTCTTGTCAAAATTGATTGGGCGACCTAGAGTCTTTACGTTATGGCCTGACAAGCTGGTTTTCTTCCAAGACCAGGTGAATCTCAACTCAAAGTGGGCTTTGTTTAAATCAACCTAAAAGGTGGAATAATTTTCTTTTTGTTTTCACTTCAGGTAGCTATAAGAGGAGAGAGTTTGTTGAACTGCTTTCTTTTCCTCAGACTGACCCCAACTTTGCCTAACACGTTTATTAATGTTGCTTCTCCAATAGTTGATGTGCCATTGCAAAAGCTTTCTGATCTCTAAACCTAACTATCCAAATTTGACTGTTATTACTTTATATAGAGAGAAACAAGACATTGTTATTAGAAAGAACTTACATAAAGTGGGAGAAGTAAGACTGTATTGGATCCTCTTGAATAGTGATTTCTTGTGAAGAAATGTGTTGTTCTCAACTAAATCACTTAGATGTAGGAAGTTTATTCTCTTGGTGAGAAAGTGGATTGGAAAACTCAAAGAATTAATTTGGTAATTGTTTCTTTTTCTTTCTCTCTTTTTGATATTCATGGATGTCAAAAGGTTTTTTGATCTGCCTTGTTTGGGTTGCTTTACAAATGTCCTCAATTAATGCTGCAGACACTGAAGATGATGACCTGAGAAGGTATTAGGCCTTACATGAAATCTATGCGACGATTAGTGTTTGTCTTGTTAGTGTTGTTTGGTTAAGGTGAGTAAAGGGTGTAGGAGGGAGGTTTGAGTATTTGTATAATTTCAGTTGAAATGGTTGGAAACAGGCTTCAACTTCTAAGGAGTTGTATATCAGCGTTACAAAATTTATTTTAGAAGACATTCTTTGTTGAAGCCCTATATTGTTATATAATTAATTCTTCTAAATGTGTTTGTGAGCCCGTTTCTCTAATCAAAATTTTGTTTTGTTTTTTTTTTTTCTAACCCCAGTTTGTTTTGTGTATGCATGCTAAATTTTAATACCTTAATAAATATTTAAATTGATAATGAGGCCCAGTTATTAATAATAGAGCAAGAGACACGTGTCCTTCTCTTGACATATTCAATAATAGGCCCAGTTTTTAATAAGTTAAAAGTAGTGTGTGATTGAATTATTTAATGTATGCAGAGAAACTTAAAGGAAATTTGGCATATTCCTTGAAGAAATGACTCAGAACTTGCACAAAACTTCTTTAAGAAATTATAAAAAGAAAACCAGAAAGACTAGAAGTCTATGAAAGACGTGAGAAGTCTTGGCCTTTGATGGGGACAAGGGAGGGATGGAGAATAAAAAGTAACAAAAGTGTTACTTTAATTAACAAAAAAAACAAAGAAAAAAAAAAAAAAAAAGCATGAAAGCATGCACATGGTTCTGTTGTATAGAGTTGAGTGAATCACATGTACTCTAATTTTGCTTGATTGTCTGCGATTGAAAAGAGTAGGGTTTGAAAGATTTTTATGAGTGATAATCAAGAAAGAGAATGGTGATAGTGTCGGATTGTAACGATGCCGAAATTAGAAACGAAATATAAATTTGTGTAATAAAGTAGTATTTTAAAAGTTTGTAGGTGAGAAAGTGTAACTCAGTCATTATTTGAGTGGGAAAAAGTTTTTTTTTTTTTTTTTATATCGAGGGTGTCCCGATTGACTTACGTACACTTTAATTAATTATTTAGGACCCTAAAATAATTGACTGGATAAATTCCTTCAGCCATTACTCCTATTAATGTTTAGAGAAATTGAAACTCAAGAGCACATTTGGTTTTTTTACCATTGGGGCACATAGTGATGGTTGGCGGGAAAAAGTCGTTAACTCTGACAATTGGTTGCTTAGTATTTTGGTCTTGTGAAGAAGGTGGATACTGGATAGTGTGCAACACACTAGGGAGACAACTCTGGTGACGTGTCTACTCCATTTATTTCTTTTAGGCATTGCTTTCCGTCTATTTTGATTGTTCTTGGACTTTGTGATTCACCTAATCAAATTAATTGCTTTTTTATGATGTTTGGAATCTGCTGGCAGGCTTGGTGACCAAGACTTAGAACTAGCCGTGCTCACTGCTCTACAAGACCAAGACTTACAACCAGCCGTGCCGTGCTCACTGCTTTACAAAACCAAGACTTACAACTACTCTACAAGACCAAGACTTGATGGACTAAATTTTTGAAAATATAAACATAGACTTGTGGGCAAAGATATCATCTCTAGTTTTCATTTCTCTCAACAGTCATTTTCATCTTTCATTTTCTTCGGTTTTCTGTAAAGAGAAAAGGATGTGGGGGTTATTATGGCACTGTCTAATTCCCTGCCTCTTCTTATTGTTCTTACATTTTCAAGCTATCAGCTCTTTTACTCCATCGGCAAAACTTTGCCCTCCTAAAGAAAGCTCCGCTTTACTCCATTTCAAGAACTCAATTTCAGTTGATAGCTCTGTTTCTAGTTATTGTGGAGGAAATCCCTCTTCTAGTTCTTATCCTAGGATAGAATCCTGGAATAAGAGCAATGATTGCTGCTCATGGGATGGAATCACTTGCGATAGGTTCACAGGTCATGTGATTGGCCTCAATCTTGGCTCTAGTAGGCTTGTTGGTTCTATTCACTCTAACAGCAGTCTCTTCTTGCTTCACCATCTCCAAAAGCTTAATTTAGCTTGTAATGATTTCAGGGGATCCAAAATCTCTTCCAATTTTGGTGAGTTCATGAAATTGACACATCTCAATCTTTCTTCATCCTATTTCCATGGCCTAGTTCCCACTCAAATCTTTCACCTGTCTAAACTGACTTCACTTGATCTGTCTGCTAATTATGACTTTGGGGAACTAAAATTGAGCCAACATGGATTTCGTAAGCTGTTGCAAAACCTAACAGAATTAAGATATCTTCATCTGAAATATGTGAATATGTCTTCAGTCGAAGCTAATTCTTTGGTAAACCTATCTTCTTCATTGATATCGCTCAGGCTTGATCACTGTTCGCTACAGGGCGAGTTCCCAAATGATATTTTCCACCTTCCTTTCCTCCAGGAGCTACGTTTATCAGGAAATGAGGATCTCTTTGGTCGTTCACCAAAATCAAACTGGAGTAGTCCCCTCAGGTTTTTGGATCTCTCTTCAACACTTTTTTCAGGAATGTTGTACGACACAATTGGTAATCTAATATCATTGAATGAGCTGGATCTTTCTTACTGCCAGTTCATAGGATCACTTCCAACATCACTTTGGAACCTTACGGGACTCACTTTTTTGAATTTGGGTTTCAATAATTTTTCTGGTCAAGTCTCAGGATTGTTATCAAACCTTGGCCAACTCAATTATTTAAATCTTGATGAGAACAAGTTTTCAGGCGAGTTTCCGGATGTTTTTGGTAACCTCAGCAAGTTAATTGTTGGATCTGCTAATGCAAATAATTTCACTGGTTATTTGCCTCCGTCAGCATTCAATCACATTCAACTTTTAGAATTGGATTTATCCGATAATCAATTCGAGGGCCACATTCCACAGGTTAGTCAGCTTTTAAATTTAACTGACAGAATGCCACCTTTGTGTTACTTAGATCTCAGCATCAACAAAATCTCAGGTCCAGTTTCAAATTCCATCTTTGAACATGTAAACCTTACTGATCTCCACCTTTCATCAAATAATTTGAGCGGCATTGTGAAGTCGGAGAAGTTTTCAAAGCTCAAAAATCTCATGGTTGTAGACCTTTCGTGTAATGACCTTCTGTCATTAAAAAGTGATACGGTTAACTTTATCTTGCCCGAGCTCGAGTTTTTTGGATTTTCTTCTTGCAACCTAACTGAACTTCCTATTTTCTTGAGAAACTCGAAAAGGTTGGGAACTTTAGACCTTTCAAATAACAGTATTATTGGTCAAGTTTCCCTATGGGAGTTTAAAGATTGCAACTTGAAATCTCTTGATCTCTCTAGCAATTTTCTAACGAGTGTTGAGCATATTTCATTGATGACAAACCTGCAGTTTCTGAACCTTCAATCCAACTTGCTCAAAGGATCACTTATGATTCTACCCCCCTATATGGCGTACTTTTCAGTTTCAAACAACAAATTGACCGGACCAATCCCTGAATCCTTTTGCAATTTGAGCGTTATTGAACATCTTGACTTGTCTAATAACAGCTTCACTGGAACAATTCCGCAATGTCTAGAAAGCTATGAGACGCTCGTGTTCTTGGACCTGCGAACAAATAACTTCCATGGTCACATCCCTTCATTCTCAAATGGTCATATTGGATATCTTAATCTTAATGGCAATCGATTGAATGGATCGTTACCAACCTCTTTGGTTAATTGTAATGAGTTGGAAGTTTTAGATGTTGGGAATAACATGATTAATGATACATTTCCTCATTGGTTAGGAAGTCTTCCAAAATTGCAAGTTGTTGTCTTGAAAAGTAATAAATTTCATGGTCCTATTGAATATTCAACAACAAGATTTCCCTTCACTAAGTTACGAATACTTGATCTCTCTCACAATCAATTTACTGGTCTTTTGCCAATAAGGTATTTTGAAAAATCTGAAGCTATGATGCGTGGAGATAAAGGTAGTCCTGAAGTTGATTACATGGGGGTATATGACGGACGATATGCGCCGCCGGGAGCTTTTGAGTATTATTCAATGGTTTTGGTGGTTAAAGGAGTTACTATGGAAATTGAGAGAATTCTATCCATTTTAGCAGCCATGGATTTGTCAAACAACCAATTCCGAGGATCGATTCCAGAAATAGTTGGAAAGTTCAACTCACTCGAACTTCTTAACTTTTCTAACAACAACCTTATTGGTCATATTCCATCATCATTGGGAAATTTGACAAAACTTGAATCATTGGATCTGTCTTCAAATAGGCTTGTTGGAGAGATTTCCAAACAATTGGCAAGTTTGACATCTCTTGCAGTGTTAAATCTTTCATACAATCAGCTTGCGGGACCTATACCTAAAGGATCTCAGTTTAATACATTTTCAAATGATTCATACGTTGGAAACTTGGGATTGTGTGGATTTCCAATGTCAAAAGAATGTAGCAGTGATAAGCCAATTGAACCACCATTAGCAATATTTCCTGAAGATGACAATGATCCAAGCTGGTTTGATTGGAAAATCGCTATGATGGGTTATGGAAGTGGGTTGGTGATCGGTTTGTCTACTGGCTATATTGTATTCACAACGAGGAAACCAGAATGGCTTATAAGGATGGTGGAAAGAGAGAGACCGACCAATGTGAGAAGCTTGAACAGAAGACGCCGAGGAAGAAGAAATCCATAAATGCAAGAAGCCAAGAAGTGTTTGCACCTCATTATAAGGTAACTTGTTATATTCATATATTAACTAACAAATTAAACAATCTAAATGGTTTTCTTAATATCATGCTGACAATTATCAATTTGAGTTGTTTTCAATTTCTTCAGCCTATTATTTACTCTGAACAACATAGCTAGATCTAAAACCCTAAGAACAACCGTTACTCTGATCAGAGAAAATAGACTAACTCTGATCAATCTAGCTAAATGTAAAACCATAAGAATTTTAATTGATTTTGTTCTAGGCTTATTGGGATCACCATTCACTTTGTTGATCATCCATAAGGATATTTTTCTCATATTTATAAATTACTTTCAGTTATTTTAGAAATTTAGACGTGCCAATTAAGTTATCTAAATTTTAACCACAAGTATTAAATTTTATTTTTCAGACTTGAAGAGTTGATAACACATGGAATTGAAGTCTTTGGTGGGAGAGTGCAAGAAAAATTAATCTACAAGTCTTTTGCATAAATAGGGAATCTTTATGTATCATCTTTATTAAGTTTGTGTGTTGGAACAGCAAGCAATTATATATGTTTGAATATTCAATTTTGAATTCATGTCCTTGAAACTAAGACTTACAGATTTTCTTGAAAAAAATTTATTGTCCTCAGAGAGTAACAGAGCAGTAGTACACTTCACCAAAACAATGTAAGCTAGAAGTAGTTGTCTTGACACGAAGGAATTAGATGATGATATAACTGAAAAGACAACATAATTGTCATTACACTTGCATACGATTGATAAATATCTTAACATACTGATACAGGTTTTCATATCCATGATACAAATAATTGGGTACATTATAAAATCCTCAGCATAGAGCTAATGCCTGTATCTTACTCATGTCCACTTTAACTTCTTTCATCTGCCCCTACCCTACCTAAATCTCTTGGCTTTCTTCTTCCTCTGAGAACTGTCTGGAGTCCGGCTGTCCAGCTTGCGCTTTGTCCCTACTTGTTTCAGAGGACCACCATCCTTTGAAGCATTTGCCCTTGCCTTCCTCAGAGCAACCGCCGGTCTTTTCTCTTGATGTATTTTTGCCTTCTCCCCTTTCTGAACTTTTGTTTTCATCATCTTACCTGATCCACTGCTCCCTAAATGGACTTTCTTTTGTGTACCAGATTTGCTAGCCCGCAAACCCTGGTATGACAAAGTAGCCTTTGAATTCAATTGATCAGCACTGCCTGGACTCCTTGAATCCACTGCAAATTTCTTTGAATGGGGATTAACTGCAGATGCTACATTCTTTCTCTTGGATGGGGTGGAATTCTGCCCAGCATGTGAAAGCCTCAGTTCCCTATCCCGAAGCTTTAAGTTACGCTTCTTAACAACCAAATTTGCAGCTTCCTGCAAATTAAAACAACTTAGTATATTGTAAAACGATCATATAGATAGTTTAATGATAGATATACATCTTTTACATGATGGCAAAAGAACTGCTAGAGGTTATGATAATACAAAACACTGATACAAAGAGTTCTACTAGTGTAATGTAACATTATTGACCCCGATTCTGCCCTTAAATTGGTCAAATTAATTCTCACCATCTTTCCGCCCAATCTTCAAGTAAAAGATAATATAATAGAGTCCTTAGGAAAAATCTGTTTGCCAATGTAATTAAATGCAATTACAGTACATTGAACTAAGCTAGCCAGCCACGGTTGTTCTAAAGAGAAAATGTTTGCTCCAAATTTCATCTCCTAATGCCAATGTTTGCTCTTGCTCAGTCTGATATATGTTCTCCCCAAAATTTCCCTAAGCTAAGAATTCAAGGCATCCCAGATTATCTTCGGCCATAGCACTTTTCATATTACAGATTCATGCTTCAAGGAGTTACGTAAATAAGTGAAAAACCACAGGCCTCAGAAATAGTTCCAATGCCTAGGATAAACAAGAATAATTATACAAAAGAGGTCTCCATGACTGTTGTCTAAACTATAGATACCAATTATACATTTTGTCTAATGAAAAATACGTCCAGTTTTTCAGTTTTTTATCTTTCTTCTTCTTTGAACAACCAGCATCATAAAAACGAACAGATACCAATTATACATTTTGTCTACTACAAAATAAAACAAAGGTGGACAAAGCACATATATGAGAAAGCATTGCTAAAAAGCATCACAATCTCTATGGCTATTGTAAACGGAAACAAACTGAACATAACATAAGAAAAAGAAACACACTTAAAATATCAAAATCTTGAGTTAAAAAAAAAAAAAAGAACAGTTGGACAGAAGTAAAATTTCGAAGTAAATTAATTGATAACTGGGGAGTAAAAAGTAAAAAACAACTTCATCATACCCTTGTTTTAAATAAGACATAAGCAATACCCTTCCCCACTCTCATATGAGGATGTCTAATTACCCGAACAGCTTCAACACTGGATCCCAAATTGTTAAGACCACAAAAGAGCTGATAAATTTCTTCATCCTGCAGAAAAAGAAACAATTATCCAGCTTACAATCATGCAAGCAACAAAAACTGCATTGGAAGTCCACGGAAAATATGTTGCACATGGAAAAATTTACCTTTACATCGAATGGAAGGTTACCCACAAATACAGTCCTCTTGTTATCATAAAGTGGAGCATCCTCCCCCTTCAACTTCTTGCGTGGTGGGCAGGCCCTATCCACACGAATATGATTTCCTCCAACCTACATACATTCATAAAACATACAGAACCAATACATTAAAAAATTCGCATTCAATGTTATTAAAGGCCAATATTATGAAAAAGCAACATACCACGGCCATATTATGGCACAAAGCACCCTCAGCAAATTGTTCTGATTTGAAAACAATGTATGCATGAACACTGCAACACATGAAATTTATCGTTAAGAAATCTGATATTTGATCAAAATTAGAAAACCATTTATGATCATCATAAACAATGATAACAGATGGTGATTAACAAATAGAAGAGACAACCATTTCACAGCAAAACATACAATTCACACCACTGACTGTATAAAAGCCAAACCTTCAAAACTGAAAATAGGTTTTATTTTTAACCACTTTTAAGCAAAGAGTTAGGTTCTGGCGGGGGGTCAATCAAAAGAGTGGAGGAAAAATCACCAGATGAAATTTAAAATAATTCATTGTTAAGCAAACTACCTAGATATATAATGAAATTGTATCCCATTAAATTTAGTGTTGACATAAATGAACAATCTTTTGAATCTGATCATGCCCATAGAGAGTTAAACATACCTAAAAACCTCAGTAATGCTAATTAACTAAGTTATAGATGATACTAAAACATAAACATAAGCAAGAACTTTAACTGGAGAAGAACACCACATACAAGCATGAATTATCAAACAAATCATCTGCGAAAATCTGAACAACAAAGCGAACCGACATTTTAATCAAATAGCATTATACCTGTCTGCATCTTCATTGATTTTCTTTTGTAGTATAGCTCCCTTTCTTGGTGTTTTAGTCTAACCAAACAAGCAACAAAAGCAAATCCTTAGACAAAACAATGAAAACACAAAGCAGAAAGCATTCTAAATCTTCCATCACAAAACCAGAACGACTTGAATTATACCACATTACACTCACATCTAAGATTGGCACAGAGCGGATCCTTATCGACTCAACTTCCCCAAACTTACTAAACTCCTTCAAAAGCAACTTCTTCTTGACCTTCAAAGGCAAATTCCCAACAAAAACAGTCCTCAAGAGCTTATTCTCATCATCGAAACCTTCGTCTTTCGAAGTCGCCAACATATCCTCTGTCTCATCTCTGCTTTCTTTCTCCTCTCTCCCACCACCACCTTCTGTACTTCTTCTTCAGTTTTCGCTCTGTACTTTTTCTCCTCGTATTCTCTCTCCACCTCATCCCTCTTCCTCTTTTCACTTTGTTATGCATCAAAAGTCAAGCCTATGTCAGTACAATTAATATCTCTTTGTACCAGCTGCCAAGCCCATATCTCCAAAGATATTCTCACCAATTTTATCTCATTTCAAAGAGATGAATGGACGAGAGCTTTCCATGTGTCAAGGCAACTTATAAAATACTCATTACATTGAGTGTTTAGGTGTATAAATGGGCACTCCTCTTCCCGAAGAAAGAGGCTGGGCTGAGATTTGAGCTTCATTTCATTCTCTCTCTGTAAACACTGTATTTCTTCTTCTTTGTATGCCTTACGGGCAAAATCATAGAAATAGTCAGAAATCAATAAAATAACAGTGGATGTAGGAGTCGCTTGTTGAGCAACCGAACCACTATAAAAACCCCTCTTGCCAATCTTTTATTTATGTTTTCTGCAACATATATAATCTCAGCTTCATATTCAAATCTCATGGATCTATCACGTGTGATTCCTAAGTCTGCTTAGCGTTTCCCACGTGCGAGTCGTTGGCGTCCAAAATCAAGTGTCAACAGTTTGGTGGCCCATGCAGGTCGATTCTCAAGCCTGCATCCAAGTTCCTTGACGGCGTGCTCAGATCTCAAACCTGCGTCAGAATTCTCCAATCTCGTGGCCAGATTGCACGCGTCAGAGTTCTCCGATCGCGTGGCCAGATCGTAGATCGCACGCGTTAGAATTCTTCGATCGCGCATCAAAATTCTCCAATCGCGTGGCCAGATCGCAGATCGCACGCATCAGAGTTCTCCGATCGCGTGGCCAGATCGCAAATCGTATGCCCGTGCCGTCCTGATCCTTGGCTTCAGATCGCTGATTTTTAGCTTCAAATCGCGTGTTCAGATCGCTGGTCACACGTTGGGATCGCTGATCTCTTGATCTCTCAGGTCGAGCTCGTTATGACCTTTTCAGGTCGAGCTCGTTTTGACCCCTAAGATTGAGGTCGTTTTGCTCATTGAGTTTGTTTTGACCTCTCAGGTCGAGGTCGTTTTGCTCATTAAGTTCGTTTTGATCTCTCAGGTCGAGGTCCTTTTGACTTCTCAAGTTGAGGTCGTTTTGCTCATTGAGCTCGTTTTGACTTCTCAGGTCGTGCTCGTTATGTGCTCAAGTCGAGCGTAGGTCGTGCTCGTTTAGGTTGAGTACAGGTCATGCTCGTTATGTGCTCAAGTCAAGCACAGGTCGTGCTCGTTATGTGCTCAAGTCGAGCCTAAGTCGTGCTCATTCAGGTCGAGCCTAGGTCATGCTCATTATGTGCCCAGGTCGTACTCGTTATGTGCCCAGATCGTACTCGTTATGTGGTCAGGTCGAGCCTAGGTTGTGCTTATTCAGGTTGAGTACAGGTCGTACTCGTTCAGATCGAGCTCAGGTCGTGCTTAGGTTGAGTCCAGGTTGTGCTCGTTATATGCGTTCAGGTCGAGCCCAGGTCGTACTCGTTCAGGTCGAGCACAGGTCGTGCTCGTTATGTGCTCAAGTCGAGCCCAAGTCGTGCTCGTTATGTGCTTAGATCGTGCTCGTTCAGGTCGAGCTCCTAACATATTTCAGGTCGTTTTCCTAACAGATTTCAGGTCGAACTCCTACCAGATTTCAGGTCGAGCTCCTACCAGATTTCAGGTCGTTTTCCTAACAGATTTCAGATCGAGCTCCTACCAGATTTCAGGTCGTTTTCCTAACAGATTTCAGTTCGAGCTCTTCAGTTCGAGACTGCAGCCATTCAGATCAAAGACTTTAGTTTCTGAAGCGTGATTACGCACTTCAAAAACAGACTTTGATTGGTTCAAAGAAACCATGAAAGGTGTTGTTGCAGGCATGAGACTTCACGAGCAAAGATTCTCATATATAATAATAGAGTCTAAAAATCAAATGTTAGTTGTTTCCTTAATGTTTAAGTTTGTATAATATTATAATCATAAGAATAATATGATCTGATTAACAAGTTTCAGAGCGCTTTCAGAAATTTGAAGTTTCCAAGCACTCTTTTATTACATATTTTGGAAAATATAATACAAATAATTTATCCGTCATAGCACTTTTCTCTATATATCTCTTCAATCTTCTTATAGTTTGTCAGGGGCACATAACAAATTATAACAAAATATATTATTCCTCCTGTTATCAAAGTTGCACCTTTAATTATATTACAATATTGATAATTTCAAAAAAGTATCCAGTATGATTAAAAAGCTGCAACCAATGGCGCTGACATTTGAGCTTTGTTATTGATTCCTTCCTCCTCTTCGTCCTCCTCCCGCCTCTGATTCCCACCTAAACAAATCCCATTAATTACTTTACTTAATTAATCACACAAAATTAACATAAAATTTAATAAGGGAGGAACTTACGAATCGTTGGGAGAAACATGGATCGCTTGATCAAAATAAGCCTTGGCTCTATCCCAGTCTCTCTGTGTCATCCAAATCAAGTTTCTACAAACAAGAACCTCCCGTCACCAGGATTTGCCAATATTGCTCTTCCGTAATATTCCTCTGCTCTCACTATCCTTCCCACTATAAACCAACCAAAATTCATCATCAAATCAATTGCTTCATCAACAAGCAACAAAAATATTTCATAAAAAATGATCTTTAAACTATTCCTCAGCAAGAACTTTCCGTAGTTCGAAGAATCAGAGAATCCTAGGGTTTGACTTCACTAACTCGCGATAATGATCGCCCATTTTCTTTATCACCGCCGTTGGTACCGCGTTGTTCGGCAGTTTCAGAGTAATCTACACATCATTTCCAACTCCGTTAAATCTCTCTCGGGAATTCTCGACGCGTGAACCGAGTTCGCCTCGCTCATCTTCTGGGAACATCCGATCTGGCACGTCGGTTTTCGACAGAGTGTCGGATTCCGCTTGATCTCTTGTATTCATCTCAAATTGCGAAACTCGAGGAGAACTCACCGTTGTCTTTCCCGGAGAAAACCGGAGCTAGAGTCTTGACGTGAAATAGGGACTTTGAGTGAAGTAGTGAACTGGATGGACTGGAGTTTGGACCAGCACGGATGGTTCTGAGCAGTAAAGCTTTCATCGCCGATTAACTTTGGTTTGAACCCTGACAGTGGATGTTAAAGTTCTTCAAGCTAAATGGGCCAAAAACAAGGCCCGTAAACAATTTCTCGTTTCAGTGCGGCCTCGCGTGCCATAAACTGCTTAGAAATTAAGGGTTTGTTTGGTAGACGGGATTGGATTGGAATATTTTTTGGTTTGGGATAGAATTGGGTCAGACTAAATTGGACTGGATTACTGATAGCACTCCCCTGTTTGTTTAACTTTTTTAACATTATTCTATTTTACTGTCCTGCCTTAAAAAAAGTGAAAAAAATGTTTGTTTTAATATTAACTATTTAATTTAAAATCTAATTTTATTCAATTCAATTCAAAATATTTAATAATTACATTTTTCAAGAAAAGTTTATAAATAAAAAAAAAACACTCCCACCCACTCAAGCAACAATCGTTCACCAGCAACCATCGCCAGCCACAATCGCTGTCATCATCAACGTTAGAACGATGCACGATCGGATAGATCTGACTGATCGTGCGCTGATTTGTCTGTTTCATATGCAAATTAAGTAGAAGAACCGTCCAAAATTCCTTTTGTGAATTAAAATTTAGAAAAAGATACCAGCTCAAAACTCCAATCTCTCACTCTCATATAAAAATAGAGAGATTGATGTATAAGCATGGATCAAACAGGAACCATTGGATGAGCATCCACATGAATAAAATTATAAATTAAATTCATTTTAACATAAAATTTTTGATTATGAATAAGTAATTGCCGGCTTCCAACAAATGAAGACACATATACTACGATAAAAATTTTGGATGCAGCCATGCAGGCCTGCAGGCAAGGCCAATATGCTGCTTTCCATGATTAAGAAAATTGTGGATATATTGCCTGCAGGCAGCCATTTGCACCGATTTTTGGACCTCTTCCTTATTAAATAGAGTGATTTAGTACTAAATGCTGCATGCTTTCATCACTAGTTGACTGCCATCCTTACCATAAATACTGTTTAGTATCAAATTCAGTGCCATAGATTTGCATTCATTAAGAAGAAGAAAGAAAGGAAGAGCCAAACTAGGATTCCCTAATTAAAGGTGAGTTTCATCTCTTATTCTTATTATATGTAGTGTTGAGTCGATATTCTCCTTAATTTTTTCCCTTTTGTTTAAAAATTAGGTAGAGATTATGGAAGAGATTCAGCAGAAAGAAGAAATTAAACAAATTGTTCTTGAAGAGCAAAACGAAAACCCCACCAACAAGCAACAGGAGGTAGCTGAAAAGGAAGAGCTTGATCATCTGAAAGTCGATGAAGATGAGAAAATTGTTCCTGTACTTAACAATAATGCGGCACAGCAAGCTGCTGGAAGAGTTGAAGGAAACCAAAAGGACCGAGCAAGGAAATTGAATCAAGGTTCAAAATTATCGAATCTCAAGTCAAAGGCTACAGTGCCTCAGCCATTTTCTTTGGCAACTGAGAAAAGAATACTATCTAGAGAAAGACTAGCTTCAGTGGATTTTTCTTCATTGACTGAAACAAAATCAATGCCTAAAGAAAGACGAGGCTCAGTGGACTCCAAGGATTTGCAACGTCCTAAGCTTACGAAATCTGTTAGTTTAAGCCACAAGTCAGTTCTCTACATTCATGCTTCCTGTTATATTATATTTCTTTCACAGGATTTTATGAGTAGATTTAAAAGATTTTTACATCTGCAGGACTCAATCCTTGTCAGGTCCTGGATTTGGAGAAACCTCAAAGGCAAAACATGCAAATTCTACCAATATTGCTGCTAAAACAAATTCCAAGATCAAAGTCACGACGACTGACCAACATGGTGACCATAAGAAAATGGAGGTGAGTTGGATCACCTACCTGACAGGATCGATTTGGAAAAATACTTTCATCACTCGTATATATATGATTAATGTATATGAAGACTAACATTTTGTTTGTTGGGATGATGGGGTCTCCAAATAACAGAGTGGTTTGAAAAATAACCATAAGAGTGAAGCTAAAAAGGAAATTGAAAGGAGATTCTTAGGAGTCACTGCCAAGGTATATATATACATATAAATATGTTAAATTCTCTATATAGCTAAATCTAGCTTCTTCTTTCCTTAAATGTTTTTAATTATCTGTTGCTAATTACAGAACCGGCAAGGAGATGAATTGGACAAAGACAATAAACTTCAGAAAAGCTCCACATTCAAAGCGTCTCCATTGCCAAGCTTCTATCATCGAAGAAATCCTCCCTCAAAACCTGAAGTAAATAAGGTCAGCTCTTCAGCTTTAGGTGTTTGATTACTTCCTTATTTTAATGTTTTATGTATATCTACGTAAAAACGTTTGAGTTTGACATTACCAATTGATACTTTCAGATCCAAGCAGCACGTCCCAAGTCTCCTGTAACTGGGGCGAGAAGGAAGTCCATGTCTGGCGCTGATAAACCCAAATCAGAAGAAAAGGGCAAGACTGTTGCCAGAAGAAGAAGTAGTAATGGCGCAAAGGAGACAATAAGCAAACTATTTAAAACTACCAAAAATACTTTGATTGGCTCCAAAGAAACCATGAAAGGTGTTGTTGCCAGCGCATGAGACTTCACGAAGCAAAGATTCTCATATATAATAATAGAGTCTAAAAATCAAATGTTAGTTGTTTCCTTAATGTTTAAGTTTGTATAAATATTATAATCATAAGAATAATATATGATCTGATTAACAAGTAATTTCAGAGCTGCTTTCAGAAATTTGAAGTTTCTAAGCACTCTTTCTTATTTACATATTTTGGAAAATATAATACAAATAATTTATCCGCACATATGCACTCTTTCTCTATATATCTCTTCAATCTTCTTATAGTTTGTCAGGTGCACATAACAAATTATAACAAATTATTATTATTCCTCCTGTTATCAAAGTTAGCACCTTTAATTAATATTACAATATTTGATAATTTCACAAACGTATCCAGTATGATTAAAAAGCTGCAACTAATGGCGCTGACATTTGAGCTTTGTTATTGATTCCTTCCTCCTCTTCGTCCTCCTCCTCCTCTGATTCCCACATAAATCTTGCATAAGATGCCAACACCGTCCTGCACATTCATTATTCATCCAATTAATTACTTTACTTAATTAATCACACAAAATTAGCATAAAATTTATATACAGGGAGAGAACTTACGAATCGTTGGGAGAAACATGGACTGCTTGATCAAAATAGGCCTTGGCTCTATCCCAGTCTCTCTGTGTCATCCAAATCAAGTTTCCATACAAACAGAGAACCTCTCCGTCACCAGGATTTGCCAATATTGCTCTTCCGTAATATTCCTCTGCTCTCACTGTATCCTTCTCCACCTTCATAAACCAACCAAAATTCATCATCAATATCAATTGCTTCATCAACAAGCAACAAAAATGATTCATCATAAAAAATGATCTTATAACTACTTACCTCATGCAAGAACTTTCCGTAGTTTCGAAGAATCAGAGAATCCGTAGGGTTTGACTTCACTAACTCACGATAATGATCGCCCATTTTTCTCTTATCACCGCCGTTGTTACCGCCGTTGTTCGGCCAGTTTCCAGAGTAATCTACACGATCATTTCCAACTCCGTTAACATCCTCCTCGGGAATTCTCGACGATGCGAACCGAGTTCCGCCTCCGCTCATCTTCGCGGAAACGTCTGATCTGGAGACGTCGGTTTGCGACAGAGCTCGTCGGATTCCGCTGATTCTCTTGTTATTCATCTCAAAATTAAGCGAAACTCGAGGAGAACTCACCGTATGTCTTTCACCGGAGAAAACTCCGGAGCTAGAGTCTTGACGTGAAATAGAGACTTTGAGTGAAGTTAGTGAACTGGATCGGACTGGAGGTTGGACCGGCACCGATGTGGTTCTGAGCAGTACAGCTTTCATCGCCGATTTAACTTTTGGTTTGAACACTGACAGTGTATTGAAAGGTTTATTTAAGAAAAAGTAGGTTGAGTTTTATATTTATAGTGAATTTTGTGGCGTTAGATGTGGTGACTACGTTGACTTGAGGAAGAAGGAGATGAATACACGTGTATAAAGTGCACGTGAGGATGGCTGAGGAGAAGGCGTAAGCAAGGGAGTCGGGGAGGGTGAACTTTTTTGCTAAATCACGAGAGAAGGGTGATATATTGACATAATGTTGCCACGTACAACAGTCAGCTAAAACGTGGGGCCCAACACGTGTACGGACTCGTTTGGAGTACCGAGTTAGTGAACCTTGTACAGTTCGCAGAGCTTTCTGGCTGGGTACTGCCTCCGCAAGTAGGTATATTCTTTTCTTTTATTTAAATATAAGTATAAATAAATTCTCGTATTCAAAGTAACGAAGGGTGCATTTAGTTCATTATTTTTACTCATATTTTCAATCTTGTATCCTAAATATTATTTGGTATATTATTTTATAAATATTAGTGTATTTTTTAATTATTTTAGACCCTTTAAGTTTATTAATTTCACTAAATATTCTAAAAAAAAGTTTAAAAATTTACAAAAACATCATTATCCACTCATAGTTGTCAAATTTTGGTAACCACCGTCAGTGGTAGCCAAATCTGTCACAACGCTTACACTACAATCGAAAAATGTCAGATCTGGCCATCAACAACGGCCAAAGAAATGGTCGTCGTTGATGGTCAACGATGACCAAATTTTGGCCATCGTTGACCTAAAACGATGGTCATATCTTTGGCTGTCGTTGGCGACCAAAGATGGACCTTTGTGGCCATCGACAACCACATCTGGTCTTAGATCTGACCTTTTTCGATCGACGCATTACGACACAGATCCGATCGGTCTGTGTTGTAACGTAATTTTTTGATCATATTCCAACGGTGATGGCCGGAATCTGGCACTACAGGTGGTGGGGGTTTTTTGTCATTTTATATATTAGGCTGTTTAATTAAATTAGCAAATCTATGGATTTATTTTTATAAATTTTTAAATTTTATCTTGTAATACTTCCCTATTTAACTACCCAATATTATTCCTAAAATCCTATCTAAAATAATGAACCAAACGTAACCGAAATTTTTAACATACATGGAAGACAACAATTAAAGGTTTGATTGGCGAATTAGAGGGAGAAGAGGTGATTTCTATCATATAATGTGGAATAGTAGTGAAAATAGTTGAAGTAGAAAACAAGGTTGGAAAAGCGATGGCTGGATTAAGGGAAAAGGGGGCGCATTTGGTTTTGGTCAGTTTCGGTGTTCCAACTTTAATCNAGACATATACTACGATAAAAATTTTGGATGCAGCCATGCAGGCAAGGCCAATATGCTGCTTTCCATGATCAAGAAAATTGTGGATATATTGCCTGCAGGCAGCCATTTGCACCGATTTTTGGACCTCTTCCTTATTAAATAGAGTGATTTAGTACTAAATGCTGCATGCTTTCATCACTAGTTGACTGCCATCCTTACCATAAATACTGTTTAGTATCAAATTCAGTGCCATAGATTTGGAGAAACCAAATTCTACCAATATTGCTACTAAAATAAATTCCAAGATTAAAGTCACGACAACGGACCAACGTGATGACCATAAGAAAATGGAGGTGAGTTGGATGACCTACCTAACAGGATCGAATTGGAAAAATGGAAGAAAGACAAATTAACACAATAGTCGTGAAAATACTTTCATCACTCGTATATATATGATTAATATATATGAAGACTAACATTTTGTTTGTTGGGATGATGGGGTCTCCAAATAACAGAGAGGTTTGAAAAATAACCATAAGAGTGAAGCTAAAAAGGAAATTGAAAGCAGATTCTTACGAGTCACTACCAAGGTATATATACATATAAATATGTTAAATTCTCTATATAGCTAAATCTAGCTTCTTCTTTCCTTAAATGTTTTTAATTATCTGTTGCTAATTACAGAACCGGCAAGGAGATGAATTGGACAAAGACAATAAACTTCAGAAAAGCTCCACATTCAAAGCGTCTCCATTGCCAAGCTTCTATCATCGAAGAAATCCTCCCTCAAAACCTGAAATAAATAAGGTCAGCTCTTCTGGTTTAGGTGTTTGACTACTTCCTTATTTTAATGTTTTATATCTATCTACGTAAAAACGTTTGAGTTTGACATTACCAATTGATACTTTCAGATCCAAGCAGCACGTCCCAAGTCTCCTGTAACTGGGGCGAGAAGGAAGTCCATGTCCAGCGCTGATAAACCCAAATCAGAAGAAAAGGGCAAGACTGTTGCCAGAAAAATAAGTAGTAATGGCGCAAAGGAGACAATAAGCAAACTATTGAAAAATACCAAAAAGACTTTGATTGGTTCCAAAGAAACCATGAAAGGTGTTGTTGCAAGTGCATGAGACTTCACGATGCAAAGATTCTCATATATAATAATAGAGTCTAAAAATAAAATGTTAGTTGTTTCCTTAATGTTTAAGTTTGTATGAATATTATAATCATAAGAATAATATATGATCTGATTAACAAGTAATTTCAGAGCTGCTTTCAGAAATTTGAAGTTTCCAAGCACTCTTTCTTAATTACATATTTTGGAAAATATAATACAAATAATTTATCCGCTCATATGCACTCTTTCTCTATATATCTCTTCAATCTTTTTATAGTTTGTCAGATGCACATAACAAATTATAACAGATTATTATTCCTCCGGTTATCAAAGTTAGTACCATTAATTAATATTACAATATTTGATATTTTCCTTAAACGTATCCAGTGTGATTAAAAAGCTGCAACCAATGGCGCTGACATTTGAGCTTTGTTATTGATTCCTTCCTCCTCTTCGTCCTCCTCCTCCTCTGATTCCCACATAAATCTTGCGTAGGATGCCAAAACCGTCCTGCACATTCATTATTCATCCAATTAATTACTTTACTTAATTAATCACACAAAATTAGCATAAAATTTGTATACAGGGAGAGAACTTACGAATCGTTGGGAGAAGCATGGACCGCTTGATCAAAATAAGCCTTGGCTCTAACCCCGTCTCTTTGTGTCATCCAAATCAAGTTTCCATACAAACAAAGAACCTCTCCGTCACCGGGATTTGCCAATATTGCTCTTCCGTAATATTCCTCTGCTCTCACTGTATCCTTCTCCACCTTCATAAACCAACCAAAATTCATCATCAATATCAATTGCTTCATCAACAAGCAAAAAAAAATCATTCATCTTAAAAAATGATCTTATAACTATTTACCTCATGCAAGAACTTTCCGTAGTTTCGAAGAATCAGAGAATCCGTAGGGTTTGACTTCACTAACTCCCGATAATGATCGCCCATTTTTCTCTTATCACCGCCGTTGTTACCGCCGTTGTTCGGCCAGTTTCCAGAGTAATCTACACGATCATTTCCAACTCCGTTAACATCCTCCTCGGGAATTCTCGACGATGCGAACCGAGTTCCGCCTCCGCTCATCTTCGCGGAAACGTCCGATCTGGCGACGTCGGTTTGCGACAGAGCTCGTCGGATTCCGCTGATTCTCTTGTTATTCATCTCAAAATTAAGCGAAACTCGAGGAGAACTCGTATGTCTTTCACCGGAGAAAACTCCGGAGCTAGAGTCTTGACGTGAAATAGAGACTTTGAGTGAAGTTAGTGAACTGGATCGGACTGGAGGTTGGACCGGCACCGATGTGGTTCTGAGCAATACAGCTTTCATCGCCGATTTAACTTTTGGTTTGAACACTGACAGTGTATTGAAAGGTTTATTTAAGAAAAAGTAGGTTGAGTTTTATATTTATAGTGAATTTTGTGGCGTTAGATGTGGTGACTACATTGACTTGACGAAGAAGGAGATGAATACACGTGTATAAAGTGCACGTGAGGATGGCTGAGGAGAAGGCGTAAGCAAGGGAGTCGGGGAGGGTGAACTTTTTTGCCAAATCACGAGAGAAGGGTGATATATTGACATAATGCTGCCACGTAGAAAAGTCAGCTAAAACGTGGGGCCCAACACGTGTACGGACTCGTTTGGAGTACCGAGTTAGTGAACCTTGTACAGCTCGCAGAGCTTTCTGGCTGGGTACTGCCTCCGCAAATAGGTATATTCTTTTCTTTTATTTAAATATGCGTATAAATAAATTCTCGTATTCACGTATTCATAATGTGGAATAGTAGTGGAAATAATTGAAGTAGAAAACAAGGTTGGAAAAGCGAAGGCTGGATTAAGGGAAAAGGGGGCGCATTTGGTTTTGGTCAGTTTCGGTGTTCCAACTTTAATCACATCACATGCATCCAAATTTTGCCACTGTGTTTGTCCATTTCTCATGGTAAAGAAGAGAAAAAGAGTTTTGGCCTTACATATCAAGACATATCGATAAGATCTTTCACTAGAAGTTTGTAATGAGATAAGTGTTTATATCTCAGGTTTGTCTAGAGATTGCTATAAAACGTATCTCTTATCAGGATACTAAATAGTATTTTTTAACATAGTTGATGTGTTTATATTAAATGAATGAATAAATTCAATAAATTATAAGAAAAAAAGAACGAACAAAGAGTTTCATTAATATATTTTTTTTTTAATTCGGAGTATCCAAACTAATTTACAAATACCTTAACTAATCTCTGAACTCTATTAAACATCCTATAAGTCCAAGAAAACAAGTAAGACCAGATTAACCACAATGTTATTGTGATATGTGGCTCTAATGTTTGAACATATTAACTCAATAAAGAGAGTAAACCTCTTTAACCACTTAACCAGGCCAAGCCTAGGGTTTTTTTTTTTTCTTTTTTTAATCGAATTTAAATAAACTAATCTCATAATTTTCAAAATTTTGTATAAAAAAGTAAAAGGATTTTTCAATTGATTGAAAACTTCCATTGGGCATGCCATAGATTATGCATTACATCATACATGCACATAAGCATGTACATTTGTGATTGTGTAAATTGAATATATTTATTAATATTTGACGGTGAACTTGGACTGAAAGGCTACTTGGGAAAGAGACTGGGGCAGTGGCTCCCGTGTGATGCCCACATGACTACTCTTCATTACCCTCCACCTGGATTTATCCGGCCCATGTGGTGTGGTCTGCACGTGAAACCCTTAAGCTGCCACCACGTTACTACGGAACTTCTGTCGCCACGACTCCATACAAATATTAAGAAGATTTCCATCACCTCACGTCAAAATGAAAGCAAATAAATAAAAGTAATACTTTATATACATCAATTTCATATAATATTTCTCATACTATATTATGTGACAAGATATGATTAGCTAATTTAAAGTTAAAATTAAACTTTCACCCAATCATATCTTACCACATAATGTTGTATAAAAAATGTTGTATGAGAATGATGTATGTTTATTATTATTCAATAAATAAACCTAATCTCCACACATTTTTAGCGGAAATAGCTGAAACACATACCAAGCATAATGAAATCCTTTGAAAACCTTACCTACACCACATTATGAGACCTTTTGCAAGGAGAAGAAGAATCGATTGTGCTTGAATAGATAGGAACATAGCTGGCTTCGAACTATAATATATTTATTAGAGCAAACTATATGTTCTCACTCAAAGTTTAGTGAAATGACAAGTTCCCACCCCTGGTTTCATGAATTTCAGATTCTCATACTTAAATTACATAAAATTGTTTAATGTAAGGGTTAAAGAGTAAAATGTTTATTCCAAATCTCATATCTTATTCGCCAACTCTCAACTCACCACAAGCTAGCATCGTCACCGACCGTTTTCCATGGATCCCTATCGGGTTTCTCACCCAAATCAATAGGATTTATTACCCTCAATCAAACAATCAAACTTCCTCACACAACCAATCAATGAAATCAAAAGAAAAAAAACCCAAGAATATCGCAAATGACAAACAATAGTTATGTGCAAGTTTATCTCCAGCTCTTCTCCTCCTTTGCCTTTGCCTCCACCCCCAATCACACCAAATTCTCCTAGTTCGAGTGTGATTGGTATATTTCCTCGTGCGAATAGTTGTGCCAGCTAGACCTCGGCATTTGAGACCAATCCCAAAAAACCGATCCTACAAGGCCTAGTCCCAAACCCTAACCAGGCCCATGGAGGAGGGACCAGTCCCTAGATCAAGCCCCCCTCCAAGGCCTGGGCCTGGACCAGTCCTAGGCCCAAACCCCTTTGCATTTTTTTCAAAAAAGTCCTTTGAAAATATCTGAACCCTTATAATTTTGAAATTGACAAAAATATTGAGGGTTAAATTGATATTTTACAAAATTTACTAATCTCCCGGTGTGCAAAGGCCCCTAAAAATTATATAAACCCTCCTACATAACTTTATTTAACCCCTTAAATATTAAAAAAAGTGTTAGGGGTGGAACAAAATTTTTCAGGCCCATGGAATCAGTCCTATGGGCCCAAGACTTGTCCTATGGGCCCAGGACTGGTCCTAGGGACCGGTCTGGGCCTTGAAATTTCTAGTCCCGAATGGGAACAGTCCCAATCGGGCCTAAACCTGGACCTAGTTGGGACCGGACCTTGCCTAGGTCTAGCGCCAGCCACAAACTTGGCCAGTTTGTGTTGTTTTCCCCGTCTCACCGCCTCTAGCGCCACTGTTGTTTTCTGGCAAATTCGGTCTAATTCCAGCATCATTGGACCCACTTTAAATCGAATAAAAAATACTAACGGTAGGGAAGGTACTTGAATATTCGCATAACACAAGGACCAACTTACAATTTTGGAAACCACCAGGGTACTAGACGGTATTAGTCTCCTAAATTTGAAGTTAAAGGGATAATGTTTATATATAATGTGTCATATATTGAGATTAGCGAATTTTAGTTTACCATACTTTTATGGGCATGGAATGAGTTCTTAACAGGGGTAAAGATATAATGAGACGTCAAACAAAAGACGACTCCATAATTATCTGAATGAAAATGTGAAAGAAGTGGACAACTTGATTGACTTTGATATCAAAATCCTATCTACTAAATCTTATCTCATTGAATATCAACAAAAAGCTATATAGCACACTGCGGCACATAGTTTTTCTTTTTCACTCTAATTCAACTCCAAAATTCTTACTAATTGGTGAGTGTAATTATGAGTTAAGACCCTAAAATCAATATAATTATTTGCCCCAATTTGCGGCGATGAAGAAGAAAAAGACGACTCTCCTGATTTTTAACTTGATAATTGATGGGTTCGGTTTTGTGCTTTAAATGGATGGATTTTCTATTATAACCCTAATGCCAAAGTAGTAAGGATTAAAAGCATTTATACAAATGTATATACAGATTTTGTTTTAAATTTATGCTAAACAGATGCATGATTTTTCAGTACATTATTAAACACGTTAATTACACCACAAAGAAGAGGTATATTTTTCCCATTCTTGTCTAAAATCCACCAATATCCAATATCAGGCAAAGCCCATCTAAAGCCCATCTAGCTTCGAAGTTAAATTAAAAGACTCATCAAAATCCAAAGGACAACCTTGCTAAGTACAGAGACTGGAGGTAAAGGTTACATATTCTAAAGTTCATGGAAAGTCAAATACTCGCAAATCAAATTTGTATCTTTTTGTTCCATTTTCTCTCATTGATATATATGGAGTTCATATACTAGAAGCTCCATAGCAGCAAGACTTCAATAGCATAACAGGAGTCTTGGCGTGCCACTTATGCAAACAAAGATTCTTGGCTATAGATTCTGAGAAACTTGGTTCAAAAGTATTTCACCAGAGGTAGGTTGGGGAGGGAAGTCAAACCGTTAATAGCTAGATCGATGGGATGGTTGGAAATGTAGGAGAAATGGTAAAAAGAAAGAAAGAAAAATTTCCTCTAACAGAAACCAGAGGGATAAGGGTAAAATAGAATTACTGCTTGTTCACAGTCCCTTCTTGCGCTCTCTTTGCCACATCTCCTCCATATTTGCTATCTTCTCACTTTCCTGTACTACGTAGATTAAATGTCATCCCCCCACTTTTTTCTCTCCTGTGCTGTGTAGAAAGCCCATGTCTACTGATTCTTCTTTTGCTTGGAGGCAGAAGAAGACACTTTAGGATCTTGATTAGAACTTCTAATAATAAAAAGGAATGTTTCTACAAGCATGCCAAAAACCAATCCAAGAATGCCTCCAGCAGCACTCTGAAAATCAAGATTAAAGATCCATCCATTTCAGCAACACTTGAAAGATAGAAGATAAGTGGAAACAATTATATATCCAAAGAAAAACAATTTATCATCCATAGGAAAGATAAACATAAATATATACCATGGCGGGGCTGTGGCTAAACAATGCTCTGAATGCAGCATATCCAACCAAATAGCCAGTAAACATTATAAGTGCAACATGTAAACCTGCAGTATATAATAGAAGTATGTAAATTCAGAGCATTTTAATGAAGATGCAATGCTTAATGAAGAAAACTTCTTAAAAGTGCTACACTAGAGAAAAGGAAACATGAAGCAGAAGTTGTGTTCCCATGGCAAGTAGAATAGCACAGAACTATATCAATCCACATTAGAATTTATGTTCACCTGTGATAACGGCATGTCATAAAATCAGAAACTGGGCTAATTATTTGTGAACTGCAAGCCAGTATTTGTTTTATTATGAAATAAGGTCACAACAAGAAATTAATTAAACTGATTAAGCCACCAGTATGAAAGTGGTGGCATTTAAAAGACAGTTGATCTCGGAAAGCAAAATTTCTCGGTCAGAAACAAAGCATTATGCAGAGGCCTAAGCTTTATTGTTGAGTTTTGAGTCAAAAAGTAAAGCTCTCCCCCAGAATGAAATAACTAAATGTTAAACTCGATGTAATTAAAAGTACTATGAATTTTTTTTCCCCAAATAAAATTGAATAGCTATGTTAATCTAAGTTGAAGTTGATTCCAAAGATCAGACATTAAGCTTATAACATGCACCATTAAGTTTTAGAAGCATGATTTGAGCACAACTGAGGAGTGATGCAAGAATATTTGAGAGCCAATATCATTTTATGCTATAAATCATCACAATTTTTGACAAATGGCAAAAGAACATTAAGGAAAAATGATTTTCCTTTTTTATTAAAGGACCAACTATACTAATGAAATGATTGAGCAAAAGGATGAAAATCAACCACTGAAGATTAAGAGATGAATTGTGCAGCCAAATTCAGTGCTTGGTGATTAATTGTATCAATCCATTATTACAATTTGGTCCTACGACTTTTGCTTACAGTGTTAAGCTGAAGCTCATGTGAATAAAAGTATAAAACACTGCTTCAGTTCACAAACAAAAACCAATGGAGATATCAACTAAAAATTATCAAAGTAAAGTAGCTGAACCTCAGATGAGAAATTAAAAACTATACATACAAACAAGGCTGCAAACAAATACTCTATATACATAAAAATGAGATGAAAACAAACATGGCAATCCAACTCTACTCACTAAATAAATAAAATAAAATAAAAAGTTTACCAAAACCAAGCTGATCTTTGTAAGAAGAGAAAGGCTCATTTTGTTCATTGTTCGGCACAATATCCTTAACAAGCTCTCGATACTCATTCCTCTCAGCTCTTTCTGCTAATTTCCTCAACCTAGCCTTCAATTCTTCACTCTAATAAAAAATAAATATCGACAATTATCAACTTAAAAAGTAAACAAGTAGAAAATTAAGCATGTGTAAATTTCTCAATATGATAAATACAACATTATTCCCGCGGTTTTCTCTGAAACCAAACAGATCGCTAAGAGAAATTCTAATCAAAATCAAACAACAAATTACCTTCTCTCTAGGTTTGGGGCTGTTTAACACGAACTCGGATCCAAGAATAGGTGGATCAATTCGGGTCGGGCCGCCGGATAGACGCCATCCATATATCTCGAAGGCTTGTACGGAACACTAGTAAGAGAGGTGAGATCGAGAGCGAGCTGTGAATTGTGGTGAGAGGTGAGAATCCTTAGAAGCGGAGGAGAGAAAGAGCGAATCGATTGGGTGGGGGAGATTATGAGTCCGGGTGAGTTCTGGTGGGCGTCGGATCCATGATGAAGGTGGGGTATTGTTAGTTACTGGTGGATGCAGTAGAGAGAAAGGCTCTGACGGGAAGAGTGCGGAACGGTAACGACGGTTTCTGATTTTTCTATTATACTTATGAAATATTTGTAAAAAAAACAATATTGTATTTAAATAACTTAAAAGATTACGTATAAATGGATAGTAAAAAATAAATAAAGTAAAATAAAAGTTAATATTATTTTTTCATTTATTTTTATACACATTATATGAAATTTTAAAATTTATTGTAAGTTAATATACTTAAAAAAAAAAAAAACACATAAATCTTTGATAGTTAGTTAAAATATTTTACCAAATAAATGATGTTACATATTAAAGAAGCACTCAACTTCAATGCCAATGCTTATGTTTTAAACTCACATCATTGTTAACATCTCCATCCAAATTTGATATATGCAATAATGGTTATATATTCCTCTTTAAAGTTTCCGGAAGAATTTGATTTTTGTCCATTGTTAACTTATGTTTTGTAATAGTTGATGTAAATTTAAAATCTATATATTATATAATACTGAAGCAGAATGTTTCTTCTGAGTCATCTGAACCATGTAGGATTGATATATGATCACATGTAGGATGTGTTAATTATCCAGTATGAGCTGTTTATTGGTATATATTAATTATATAATATGAATTATTACATGATTCATTAATGTATTCAATACAAATCTTCATATTCCTCTTTTAATTGAGATCTTTTACATTCTCTTTTAATTTAATAAATTACTAATGATTGTTGTTATTGATTTCTATGAAATTAAGAGATTATATAATATAAATTTTCACATGTATTCAATTAATTATTAATACAAATCTTTCACATTCCTCTTTTAATTTGAGATTTTCATTTCTTTTTTTAATTTCATAAAGATACAACATATCTTTTCAATTTGTGAAATTCAATAATGCATTTATTAATTATTAATATTCGATGTTATTCATGCATATTAATTATATTATTAATATTAATATTTTGTGCCCTTCACATTCAATTATTATTATTAATATTAATATATCTTTACCCCTTCACATTCAATTAAACAAAAATATCAAAAATAATAACAAAAAATGTTTTTCATAAATGTATTATCATTTAACATTTAAATAAATCTGAAAATTTTAAACTCATCCAATAACAATAAAACATTTAAATCAAAACAACCATAACCAATAACATGCAAACACTTACTAAAAAATATCAAAAGTCATATTAATTAGCAATAATCCAATTACATTGAAATAACAAGAACAGTTGTAATATTAATTATATATAAATATACTTAATGACATCTAAAGCTATATAAGAGTAGAGAATTCAACAATTCATACACCTTCAAATATTTTTTCATTTCACACAGATACCATAACAAATGGAAGAGAAAGACCAACTATTGTCAATCCAAAATCCAAACAAACAGAAGCGTGCGGTAATGACATCAACTGATACTCTTAAATTCCTTCTACATATCTACTTTTCATGTCCATTTTTTTATTTTTAGAGGTCAAGCAGCAACGTTAGATGGTTCACCTGAACTGGAAGGTATCCTACAAAACTTTAAGTAACGCTGCACAACTCACAAACTGCCAGAGTGATGAACAGAGATATAATGAATGCTTTGTTAGAAATAAAGCGACCATACATGTAATATTCGATACGGAAAAATGAATCCCTGATTATTGGCAAAAAAAGGAACTTGGTATTCCTCAAGGAAAAAAAAAGAAACTATTATATAAACAGTCTATTATCAATAAAATTAATAAAGATCACAGTATATGTTCCATGAAAGATGATACCAGAAGCTAATATAAATACTTATTCTACAGTTAATGCATAATTCTACTACTATTTTATACCTTTTAATCCATTTCTTAAAGATTCCATTCATTGTATAACTTAATGGGTTGGATTTAAATTTTAAAAGTTTTTTAATTAAGTAGTGAATAAGTTTCTCAACAATTGAACTAAACTTATTCTATATGTGTTGATGATTCATTTCTTTGTATAATTCAACGACTTGATTTAAATATTGATTTTTTTTTAGTTCCTTAAAGACATGAGAACTAAACTTACAATGTTTTGTCTCAGAAATCCAAATGTCTTTTTGCAGATTGGCTATATTGCGATATGTGGATTGGTTCCGTGGGTTTGGAGGGTGTTAGAGATGGAGTTTAAGTGGGAATTTGTCAACAAGGCGATTAGTAGGCGTTTGTGGGAAGTTAAAGTCATGTGTGATGTTTCAGAGGAGAAGTTTTGGAGTTCATGTTCATCTTGAGGAAGGTTGTTTCTCGAGTTGAATCTAGGTGTGTTTTTGTGGAGGAAGAAGAGTCAGGATGGTATGGTTCAAGATGTCTGATTTTAGATTCTTGATATGTTTCCTTGGCCTTGCTAGGTGGGTATGTTTGTGTGAAGAATTCAAATGTTTATTGGAAATTTGATGGCGACGTTTGATTGTTTTTGTGATTTAATTGAATTGGGATTCTGTAGGTTGAGAGGTGGTTTTTGAAGCCATGTGATGATTCTAACAGGTTTCATTTCTTTTTTGTTTCCCTCTCAAACACCTCAGCAGCTATCATGATGGAAAGCAGAGACCATATTCGAAAGGTAATCTTTTCTTATAGAGTAAAAATTGATGATTTATGTGCCAACTTAGTGTAATCTAAAAACATTACTCTTATGTTTTCTTAATTCTAAATGCAGTTGATTTTTTTTTTTCTTGGTGCTTTTATGCAACCAGACTAAATTTAGTAACCCTTATTTTCTTTGAGTATAACTCAAACTTCTTGCAGAAGAGTTTTTCAAATGAAATTTTTAAGTTTTTAGTGAACTTTTGCATAGAGCTTAAGTTTGGATTAAAACATATGCGGATGTTTGACAAAACTTGGATATTCATATTCATATTTGGCTAATTTGACTAACCTCTTGACTTGAGGCGAACTAAGCTCCACATCAAGCTCTTTGGAGAATCAATGATGCCTGTTTCATTATCAGTTTTTGATATTCATGGAGCTTGGAATACAATTCCATCTCTCTCTGTGCTTGAAAGAGTTGTTCCACCTACAACAACAACCTATACACCACCTGTGAGCAACGGAAGTGGTCATTCCAAGTGTAGCCAACCATTGCCCCACTCAAGGTGCTTTTTAAACCATTGTTTGTTTATGAAATTTCATTTATTACTGATTTATTTCTGAACGTAAATTGATTCAGTTTGATTCCTTTATTATGTACAACCTTGCAGTGATGGTCACGAGATATGATGGGGGTGGCATTGGAATAATTTAATAAAATACTTCTTTTTTGGTGTAGACACAGTATGAACCATTTAACAAAAAAAAAAATATCATTTATTTTTTTTTGTGTCTTATAAACAATGTTATATGCAAAGTGTTATCAATTAAGCATATTTTATTATCAAAAAGTTGCAAACTTACATTCTTAGATAGGTTATACATTTTTTGTTGTGGACTTGTAGCCGTAATAGTTTTGTTTGTGGCGATAGAGTTTGTGTGGATGATGAAGGATGACAAGTTTTATTTTATTTTATTTTTGCTCATTTCATGGTGTTGGACACCTTTTAAATGGTGAAAGATTAATTGTTGGACCTCAAAGCAATGGTTATATCCATGCAGGAACTACTAATTTTAGAAGGGCAAAATTGTCATTTCAATTAATTATTATTTACCAAATTGTTGTAAGAAAAGGTTTGCAACTCTTCTTTGCTTTGAAAAAGGAATATATTCCTATCACTAAAAGTTCCAGATTATTTCGTTCTTCAATATAATTTTTTGTGTCAAAACCACTTTCATAAGTTGTGGAATTTCAACTTCTATGTATTGAATCAATTAATTCAATTCCTTGAATTACAAACTGACCATTTCAACTTCCATCACTTGCATTTTATCAAATAAAAGAGGAATGTGAAAGATCTTACGCATAATTAATTGAATCATGTGAATCATCCATTTTATCAACACCAATAAGCAACAAACACGGAGACTATTAAGACATCCTAAATGACAACACATAACGATTCTCAGCAATTTTAAACATAAAAACCCGATTAAAAAAAAAAAAAAAAACAAAATGTTCTATATAATCAATATTTGACATATTTGTTGTGAAACATAAGTTTACAATTTCTTAAAATATAAAAATCGATAATAATAAATAAAAAAAAATAATAAATAAACCTGTGCAACGCGCAGGCTTGCCATCTAGTTATTTATAAGCTAGAACTAGAGAGAACACGATAATGCACGATTTCTCGCCACTGTGTGGTCACTACAACACTAATAAATATGGCCACTAAAACTCTATATTGACGTTTTAGAGATTAACTTTGAATACCTCCCATTTAAAAAAAAAAAAAAAATGGATATTCGAATGACAACATATTGGTGATTCAATGGTGGTAGTTGCGCCATGTCTTTGTTCTTGATCTTCATATTCATTATCTCCTGTGTCTTCTCCTACAATATTTTTATATATGAAAGAGATTAAAATTGCAATTTCTTATACTGATTTTCACAAATTCAACCCTCTAGTCTGCCGGCGATTTACGCATTCCTGTTTTATAGGCAAAAACGTTCTTGTTTTCTTTACAATTCAAGTAAATAACCAAACACTTACCTAAATTTAAGGAAAATAAAACCTTAGCAATGATTGTTCTTGATCAATCAATCATCAATCATATTAATTTATTCTTCTTGAATCTTCTTTTCTCCTATCCTACACACACTACATTAACACGCATTGACAGGTGTCTTCAACCTGATCATATAACTCCACAGATTTCTTCGTAAAATTCTTATTACGTCTGGGTAGGTGTCAACTGTCAAGTGCAAAAATGGGCATTCAAAACCAAACCAATATTTATTGTTACCCATCTGGCTTTCTTCAATTAGAGACACTTGTATATGTTGACCTTTTCCCTTCCCGCCCACCAAACTTCATTTATCAATGTTGAATCGATTCAACTCAAAGTTTCTCTCTCTAATTAAATTTGATTTCCCTTTCAATAACAACCATCTAACTTCCAACCATTTACTCAGCCACACTCTTTGAATGCCAGCCACCACTTTCCTTTCCTTTCCTTTCCTTTCTTTATATATACATAAGCACAAACTCTCCATTCTAGCTACCATAAACGACTATTGCATATACTTTTGAGTTGTCTTCTCTAGTTTTCAGAGCTTGAAAAGTTTGGTATAATGGCACCTGCACCTTCTGAGTTTCATCACACATCGAACACAGTTTGTGTAATGGACGCCTCCGGCCACCTGGGCTCCACCCTCGTCCACCGTCTTCTCCAAAGAGGCTACACCGTCCACGCTGCTGTTCAAAACCATGGTTAGTATATATTTTTATAATTTTATTTCATCCTGGATTGAGTAGTTTGTGTTCTTATTTTTATTTTTTAATTTCTGTGTTTGTTTAGGTGATTGGAAATTGAATAAACTTTGTGGCGATGATAACAAGAAGCTGAAGATTTTTAACGCGGACCCATTTGATTATCTCAGCATCGTTGAAGCTTTGAGAGGTTGTTCCGGTTTGTTTTACACGTTTGAGCCTCCACAAGATCAAACCACATATTTTGTATGTTCCTTCCTTTTGTTTCTTTTTATTAATTTAATTAAGTTATTCATACATGTTGATTTAAAATATTTCCAAATTCATCTTATTGATGCTACATGATTTATAACGAGTCACTTTAAAAAAGAAGTTGGTTGAGATCCTTCTTCACTTTCATGGACTTTGAATGGTGTCAGAACGCTTAATTCATTTCAATTACGTAATTCATGTAGAATGTGTTGTAATTGGGTTACTTTATGAATTAGGTTTATATATAACTTTGTGGTGTAGGAATTCACGGCGGAAGAGGAAGTAAGAGCGGCTCACAATGTGCTAGAAGCCTGTGCACAAACAGAAACAATCGACAAAGTCGTATTCACATCTTCAGCAACTGCTATTTTCTGGAGAGACGACCACAATTCAGATTTCGATGAAAGACATTGGAGTGATGTTAACTTTTGTCGCAAATACAAGGTACAATGCCATTGTTTTTTCCTTCCCTCAATCAAAATCTCTCATAAATTTTATGAAACATTAGTTAATTTTCTCATAATGTACATGTTTCACACACAGTTGTGGTATGGCCTGGCAAAGACGCTGGCAGAGAAGACGGCGTGGGCGTTGGCTATGGACAGGGGATTGAACATAGTGAGTATCAATGGAGGATTGTTGATGAGTCCCGATTTGTCCATAAAGAATCCGTATTTGAAAGGAGCAGCCGAGATGTATGAAGATGGAGTATTTGTGACAGTCGATATAAATTTTTTGGTTGACTCTCACATATGTGTTTTCGAAGATGTTTCATCGTATGGGCGATATTTATGCTTCAATAGTGTGGTTAATCACCCTGAAGATGCCTTCAAGCTGGCTTCCATGTTAACACCTTCTGCGCCTTCGTTACCTCCAAGCAGCTACGAGCAAGAGACGAGGATAATCCAACCCAGGATAAGCAGCAAGAAATTGAACAAGTTGATGATGGAGTTCGAGAGTCGATCCCAGAGATGATGAATTGAAATGCATGTATGTATGTACGTACGTGCGTATGTATGCATGTATAATTGTGTAACAGAGTTGAAGATATATACACACAAGTATATTATTCTTCCTTACCCTAATGCAAAAGCAAATATTTGGTTAATTTTGTGGGCATTAATTCTTATCCACAAATGAAGGTTCATAGATGGATTATATTCAAAATTGGTAATAAAAGAGTTTGAAAAATATTGCGTGCGGACCCAAACCAATTAATGCCAAATTGTTGGGTAAATTAAGAGCCTCCCAACCTATTTACAAGTTGATTGCAATTTGTTTAAGTCAATTGACTAAAAATAGCAAGTAGTTTAGAACATTAATAAAGATTTTTTCTTTTTTTTGACCAAGGTGTCCAAACTAGTTTATACGTACCTCAACTAATTTTCCAAGACCTTAAAACTATCGATTGAGAAAGAGTTTTAGTGACCACCTCTATTAGAAACTGTAGAGATTTGAACTTGGGAAACCATATTAGATCATTTTCTTACGCATAAGTTTTGATTGTGAGATCCCTATAATCACTTATGGTGACCATTATAGAAATGTCTGTAATCGTAGCATTATCCTGACCTAGGGCATAAATAATACAATAGGACTATTACAGCGTAGACCTCAATTAATAAAGATCGTCGGTGAACTACTTGCAATAAGTGATAGCTCCTTAAAGGGATTAATTATAAGAATTATATATATGGAGGCATGGATATCTTAAATTGACTCGGCCTCGCTCATAAAATGTCAATTTAAATGAAAATATATTAAAATACACAAGTTTAATTAGAGAAGAGATTTCTTTGTTTGGTATGAATTATTCTTGCTGTGGTACACGTCATATATTAAAATGTTAAATACTAATTTATTATTAAATTAGTAATGTTTTCGTACTCTTCTTTATCAACTGCCTTCCGTTTCTATACATTTATCTTATTTTAATTAGTGTATTGTCGTCAATTTAATTTTGTGTTTGGGGCAGTTGACAATAAAATGATGATCAAATAGAATTACACTAACATATCCATCAAATTATATGTTTGTGTGTACTGTAAAGTGCCATTAAAACTGTTTTATAAGCTTTAAATTAAATGAAATTTATTTAAAATTATATTACATTTCAAAAACACCCTTTTCGCCTCTGTATCTAATTTTTAATTTAAATTATAAATAATATTGCATTCCAAGCTTAAATGGAATGTAAATAATACTACATCCTATCACAATGAAAGAGAAAAATATGAATATCATATTAGTGTATTGAGATTATTGTAACTTAAGAATAATCAATTAAGTTTTAAGCTACTACCAAAAAAAAAAAAAAAAAAAAAAAAAAAATGAAATAGGACTAATTGTTGCCACTATCACGATTGTCAACCGCAGGTGAAAGAGGCACAATGGCTCCACATCCAATCCTTATGAACTTTCAATTTGTCGGAATCGGTTGATCATCGGATTCCAACATCACTTTTGGCTGTAGAGATGACCAAATCTTTCTTCTATGTGGCCAAAACCAACGTTAGAATCGATAATTCAATCAAATTTCGACAAATCGAAAGTTTCGGTACTTATAAGACCTACGATGGTGCAAAACAACCACTTTTTACCAACATGATCCAGGCTACCACCATTGACCGGCAATTGACTATCGTGACCATTGGTGTTTTTCAATTTCTTAAATATATATAATTCTAAATTTGTAGTTATAAGCATTTAAGAAATAGAATATCATTTTGGTCATTACATATACAATAAAAATGTCAAAACTAATTACCAAACATACAATCCTAAATTTTGGAAAATCACGACAATTATAAAACTAACATTTACCAAACACAATTGAGTTATTTTCAAAGTATTAAGCTTAAACTACAACAATCCCAAACTAACCCTTAATTAATTAACTGACTCAAATATTCATACTCCAAATAACCTTTCTAAAAAATTATGAAATTTTTTCCTATATAATGAGATAGGGCATAATGTTGTTTTGGGCTCAATTGGGCCGAACTATTCAGCCCGTGATGCCCAACAAAGAAGATAATATTATCTTGGTTTCGATGCCATTAAAAAGCTGACACGTCTAATCTCATAGGAATGTCAGTTAAGCCAACCTCATTAATTCCTCGGCAATAAATTTCATTTCTTTAAAGAGAAAAAGGACAATCCAATCCATAATTTCTTATCCTTTGTTTCGCCTTGCATAATCTTATCTATTCTTCATAAATAGAAAATAATTAGCAGCAAAAAAGTACACTGAAAGCTCCATGTTTACTTCTTCTCCAATCTTCTTGCAATGCTACTTCAATTCTTTTTCCTTTTCCACGTTATCCAACTTTCCGAATCTTTTCCTGAACCAAATCTATCTATAAATTTTGCAACTTTATTTTCTCTCTTTAAGATTGTTTTCGTTTTCAGCTTCCCAACAGTTCTCCAAGCTATCGTATAAGCTAGAGTTTCTTGAAGATTTCTCAGATTTTTATTTTTATTTTGACATTGTCTTTTTTTATTTTTTTAATATATATTAGATCTCATTCTAGTTCCACGTTTCTGTTTTTTTTTTTTCTTTTCAATTTTTTAATATTATATATTCAACTGTTCTGTTGTATCAACTGTTTTTGTTGTTGTTGATTTCATCGCAAATTTTTCATTTCTCGTTTCTTTAATGTCTGATAATCCAGTATTGCTCCAAACTCAAATACCCATTTCTCAAAATTTTGAATTTACACTTTTTTTCTTAAATTCTCATCAAATTTAGCCGGTTTTAGAATCCGGGTATCCTTGATCATCAGTTAGGGTTTTGCTTTTGTTGATCAAAACTATGAATTACAGTCGAGATTCAAGTGAAAACGTGGTACACATCGTTGTGGGAAATGGGCCTCCTGAGAATTGGATTCCAAATCCATCTGATTCCTCAGTTTGGGCCACCGAAGATGACTACCGAGCTTGGAACAACTCGTCGCTTGACACTCCTTCTAACTCCAACTCAAATTACCAGTCTCAAAGGTCCGGCAGTGAGCAACCACCGAACAAAAAGTCAAGAAACAACACTCAAGATGCCAATTCTAAATCCAAGGCTATCGGGAAAATGTTTTTCAAGACTAAACTTTGTTGTAAATTTCGCAATGGAACTTGCCCTTATGTTACTAACTGCAACTTTGCTCATAGCATAGAAGAGCTTCGACGGCCGCCTCCCAACTGGCAAGAGATTGTTGCTGCTCATGAAGAGGAGAGAGCGGGTTCCGATGATATTCCAAGAGAGGAGTTTCAAATTCCCTCTTTGGGGTCGTCTAATTTTGTTGTGGAAACTCAAAGATCATATAAAGGGAGGCATTGCAAGAAGTTCTACACAGAGGAGGGATGTCCGTATGGAGAAAATTGCACGTTCTTGCACGATGAGCAGAGTAAGAATAGAGAGAGCGTGGCAATAAGTTTGGGGCCTGGTGGCTATGGTGGTGGTGGTGGTGGTGGTGGTGGTGGTGGCGGCGGCGGTGGGGGAGCTGCTGTAGTTGTAGCTGGAGCTGGAGCTGGGGGTGGAGCTGCTGCTGCTGGTGGAAACAATGGAGGGTCGAATGTGAAGCCTTCTAATTGGAAGACGAGGATTTGTAACAAGTGGGAACTTACTGGTTATTGCCCGTTCGGGAGTAAATGTCATTTTGCACATGGGGCTCAAGGTATAAACTTTTAATTTTTGGTAGATTTACTTTATGCGGTTTTAGTAGAGCGAAATAAACTGTTTTTATGTGATTATTTTCTATATTGTTGGTTGCTGATGGTTGTGGAAGTTATTTCTATTTTGAGAAAGTAGTGAGCCTGTATTGGATTGAGATCAAGATGATGCAATTTGACGAGAAAAGTGGTGATTGATCTCCTATTATTATGACAGAAAAATGGATGCATGACAATATTACCTTTGAATAATATGCATTTGTTTTAGGAACTGATTAGTTGACATAGACTTCCCATTTTGGAGATTTTGGTCTTGGCTTAATTATGGTTGTACCTGAACTCTTGAGAGATATTTTTGTTTGAGTTTTTCTCGATTAGGAAATGCTTCAATGGACAGACTTGAACTATAATGAATAATAGCAAGTTGGTTGAGTCATATGTTATTACTCTTTAGGTTGTGTGTAAGTATTTATGGTTAACAAAGTTATTTATATATGGAGTGTCACAATAGCTTCTGCTATATGGTTTGATAATATATTATATTCTAAAATTCTTTGTCCATATATGATGAATGAAAATAATTGTTCTTGTTGCATGTTTATGCAACTGATGAAGATATAACGTGTTTTATATATCATGCACTAACGATATTAGTCCTATGACTATCATTTTCTTCTATAGGGTAACTTGGGCTTTCAGTAAAAAGACTTCGTTTTGCTCAGCAGTCCTGGTCAAGGATGAAGTGCTTTGGCCTTGTTTGTGTTAAGTCTCACTGGAATTTAATATGGAGAGGTGTTTCTTTAAAGAAGTATGCAAACAAACCTTTTTAGATGTTTAAGTTGACATGTGTATCAATTTAGTAAACATTGTTTAGAACTCTATTGACATTGATTTTGAGAGGAGTGCAAATTTCTGCTTATCTCTTCTGAACTATATATTCCCTTGATCTTCAAATACACATAACTTACTTGGGTTTTTGAAGTGTTAATTTTTATTACTTGTTTTGATTTTAGAGTTGGTTATATGTTATATGTAAAGGAAAATTTTGTCATGGATTAATTAGGGGCCTGCTACCAGTACTTGATGTGTATATAATGGCAAATGAACTGGGTTCTTTTAAAGGGAAGGGAGAGTTCCAAGAGATAAATAATGATAAGGAGATCAAGAAGTGCATGAAACTAAGCCTTGAAGTTCCTCAACCATTCTTAAGAATCTAAGGTCCCTCACCAGCTTAGTGACTTAGGCATCACACACATAATTGCAGAGAAAGAGAAAGAGGAAGAGCCCAGATCTCATATTCTCATCAACTTTAAAGAAAGAGATGTTTCCTATC